AAAACATTTCTTTTTTCTCTTGATGATAAGAAAAGAATAAAATTTTAAGGTCGACATTAATACTTACGTTACTTATTTAACTACCAGCCATTTTATTTGTCTTCTCCTCCGCCACCTTCTTCATGGTTTTCTTTGCCTTGTATATTAATCGTATTTTAATTTTATTCTCTTGTTGAGTCATAATACTCGATGATTCATACAGGACAAGCATTGTCATTACTAATTTTTTACTAAAAAAGGAAAAATGACAATGACTAATAGTCATGACAAAAGAAAAAATTATTCACAATATATTTTCTAGATATAAAGTCAGTTCAAAAGTTTCATCGTCTATAATATTCTACCAAAATGTCTTCATCCTTTTCTGCTTATCGAAATCCAAATACTAACCGACAGAATAGTGGCAATGATGATGGTTCAAAAGATCTTAAAAGTAATATACGTGAAAGTCGTTGGATTCAACCTGAACAATGGCAATCTCCTGAAGTTGAACAAAAATTTGAGAAAGTAAAAGATTCTTGTATATTTCATTTCAATAAACATTTCATTTTATTCATTTTTAAGGGTGCCATTGATTTTTCGGAAGTACTTGGTATTCTTCAACAACTTGGTATTAAAGTTCAAAAATTTGAATTAGATAAAATTCTCGAAACACATGATAAAAATAAAGATCGTAAATTAAGTAAAGAGGAATTTGAAGCTGTAAGAAAATTTTAAGTTTAATAGATTTTTGAAAATGATCTCTATTTTTCATGTAGCTTTATTTAAAATTACTTGCGGAAAAAGATCCAGGTACTACATGGAATAAAAATGTTAGATCGATGGCCGCTGGTGTTGATCGATTCGTTACAAGAAAGAGTGTATCAGATGATATAGATTCAAATTCTTCTACCGTTGAAAAACAACAAGACGCATCAGGTCCATATCATAGTGTCTTAGTTGAAGAACGTGTATGGACAGCAAATTGGGTGAATCAGTATGTGTATTTATAATTAATATATACATAAATATTCATAGAAATTTTCCGTTTATTTTTCATTAGACATCTCGCTGATGATCCTTATTTAAAATTACGTACTAATCCAATTGATTCACAGGATCCACAGGGACTTTATAAACGTTGTCAAGATGGTATTTTACTTTGGTATGTTAAAGTGAAATTAAATGATGATTGAAAATTCTTTTGTTTTATTTTTTCTTAAGTAAATTAATCAATATTGCTGTACCGAAAACAATAGACGAACGAGCAATTAATTTAAATTTCTCTAAACAAGATATATTTCGTCAAAGTGAAAATTTGGAACTTGGTAAAAAGATATTTTTTATTAAATTATATATTATTAATAATATGATTATTTGTTTTTTTTTTCTTATTAGCTATTAATTCAGCTCGTGGTATCGGTTGTAAAGTAGTAAATATTCATCCAGAAAATATTTCAAAAGGTGTACCACATCTTGTCATGGGTCTTCTATGGCAAATAATTCGAGTAAAAAATAGTTTTTTTTTAAATCATTATTTGAAAGAAAAACAAAAATTTTTTTTTGTTAATTAGATTCAATTAACAAGTGAAATTAATTTAAAACATGTTCCTGGTCTTGTTCTTCTTTTACGTGATGGTGAAACACCTGAAGATTTGTTAAAATTATCACCAGAAGAATTATTACTTCGGTGGTTTAATTATCAACTTCAACGTTCGCAATATAAAGGCAAACCAGTGACGAATTTTAGTGGTGATATCAAAGTATGTTGTTGTTTTCTTTTATTTTTTCGATAAATGTAAATATTTTTCATTTTCTTATCAAAATTTAGAATTCCGAGGCATATACTTATTTACTCAATGTTATTGCACCGGCTAATACAAAGCCACCACTAACACATAATCCATTGAACGTAAGAAAGAAATGAGAATTAACAAAAAAACAAATAAATATTAGTGTTTTTATAACATAGGAAACTGATTTACGTCGTCGAGCTGAACTAATGTTACAAGAATCGGACAAGATAAAAGCACGTGCACATATGACATCTGATGATGTTGTTAAAGGAAATCCAAGACTTAATTTTGCGTATGTTGACTATTTTCAAGAGAAATCATTTTAATTCAAAATTCTTTTATAGTTTTGTTGCTAATTTATTTAATACATATCCAGCATTAGATCTTCCGACTGAAAAATTACCAGAACCAGGCATTGTTATAGAAGAAACTCGCGAAGAAAAGACTTATAGAAATTTTATAAATAGTCTTGGTATTGAACCACATGTTAATTATCTTTATTCAGATCTTTGTGATGGTTTAATAATACTTCAAGTAAGTTTCATATATTTATTTATTGAATGCGAAAACAATAAACTTAACGTAACTATATAGCTTTATGATATTATCCGTCCGAATACAGTTGATTGGGCAAAAATCTATAAAACTTTTAATGCAATTAAAGAACGTTTTCAAAAATTAAGTTAGTATTGATTTTTTCAATAAAAGAGATTTTCTTCAATCTTTTAAATGTATAGACAATTGTAATTATGCTGTTGATTATGCTAAAGAACCACTTAATTTTAAAGTCACTGGTATTGGTGGTTCAGATATTCTTGAAGGAAATAAAACATTAACACTTGGTCTTGTTTGGCAAATAATGAGAGCATATACGTTATCAATTCTACAAAAATTAGCAAAATCAACTAAGCCTATTGCTGACAAAGATATTATTAATTGGGCAAATGAAAAAGTACAATGATTTTTTTCTTTTTGTTTAAAAATTTTCTTTAAGCCTTCATTTTTATTTTTAGTTAAAAAGTGCGAATAAAAAAACAGTTTTAACTAATTTTCAAGATCAATCATTAAGTGATTCAATGCTTATTTGTGATTTAATTGATGCTATTAAACCAGGTTCTATTCAATATCATTTACTTAAAACATCCGGAACACCAGAAGTATAAGCTTTCTTTTTTTCTTTTTTATCTTGTATTCTTATTTTATATATTAATTTAGGCTAAAATGGATAATGCTTTATATGCTATTTCGATGGCACGAAAAATTGGTGCACGTATTTATGCATTACCAGATGATATTGTTGAAACAAAACAAAAAATGCTTTTAACAGTTTTTGCTTGTCTTATGGCAAGCGATATGACTGTACCAAAAAATTAACTTTTTTTTTTTATATCTTAAACGAATGTGAGTGTGTATTATTTCCTTTAATCTTAACTACAACGTTTATTATTATTTTGTTTTGGTCTGTGTATGTGTGTAGAAAGAAAAACAGAATTCCATTTTGTGAGACTTTTATTGACTACTTACTAGCTAGCTTTTTGTTTTTTATTTTTATTTTTTGACTTGAATTATTATCGGTATAAGAAGAAAATGTATAAGATAGAAAATTTGAGTAGGTCATTGTCTTTTTTTGTATCTAATTGCACATGAATTCTTTTTTCATAGAAATTTAAATGAAATTGAACAGCGATTTTTGAATTACTGATTGATATCAGGAATATAATTAATAATAAATAATTAAACAACTAAAACGCGTCATTTTGATGATAAGAATGAATAAATGATTACTGTTCTCTGATTTCGTCACTGAAAGATCGCCAATATTGGCAAAAGTTCACAAGAACCTCACCAGATCGTTAGCAAAAGTTCAGTGAGTGTTCACCAATTATTGGTGAAGAACGAAATTTCTGTCTGATGGAGCATAATATATAGTTTGTTCTGTAAATTATAGTTTTGATTTGATGGACAAAATATCAGCGGGACGTAAGAAAATTCGTTTAACTGACTTGAATTAGTTGATTTTTGTTTTTTTTCTTATATTATAAGTTGACATGAGTTGACATGTTACAGACTGATGGAAATATGGAGTCTTTATAAGTAAAATGGTAACAATGCTCTCATATTACGTTCGTTCGAGTCATAATTTGGAATCAATGAATGATGCTTAAACTAATTAGTTGTATTTATAAATGATTTGACATATTCATTGAATTTTCAATTACGTATTTGCATTTTATATGGAGAATCAATCTTATTTAATTATAATGTTTTATATGACCAATCTTTAGTATACTTTTAATGTATTGAAATTTATACAAAAAATGAAATAACGTACTTCCTAGGAGAAAACGTTCACATCTTTGAGAAATTATTTCGTGATGATGCACGTTTAATTAAAAACAAAACTTTTTTTATCGATAATGAAAACACATTTAATAATACTCATAGTTTCGTTCATGACAGAAACAGACTTAGACTTACGAAGGAAGTTCCTCAACTGATTAATCTGTTTTGAATCGAAACTATAGCATCCTATAGATCCTAATAAACTATGAAAAAGTCCCGATCTTTGGCTTATTTGTGCAAAGATATCGTATTCGTACGGCATTTTTGAAGTCAGTGTCGTAATCACTCTTGGATATACGAGAAAAAATTATTTCCAAATTTCGACTTGAAATTTTGTATAGAGACAGGCATTAGTGAGAATAGTTTATTGTGAAAGTTTCACGTTTTTTTATTTGCTTCTATTCTGAATTGCTAGTCTATATGAACGATATAAAAGACATGCTATTATCATAGTTGCATCTTAGGACAGGAATAGCGACAAGATCTGAAACATTCAGAAAAAACGACTCTCTCATTACGATCGGTCTCTATGCAAAGTTTGAAGTCAAAATTCCAAAATTACTTTTTCTGGTATTGCTGAGGTAGTTCACGACATTCATGTAAAAGTAGATAATCTCTACAGTATTAAGCTAAGTCTATGAACTCTTTTCAGGATATTTATAGTTCATTTTGATCTACATAATGCACATAGTGTCGATTCAAAAACGATTAATCAGTTGTGGAACTTTCTTGTTAGTTTATAGCAATTACTCAATTTTACGATTCCATCTATTTGAAAGCCATTCTATGTCCAATGCCCTGAATAACTACAAACGATAAACTGTGTTTAATAGATAAAGTAAAACTTAATTATATTAAAGCAAAAACAATATTTATGATATTTTATTTATAATATTTTCCATCGGATGAATATACATAAGTTGTTAATGATTTTTTAGCTGGTACTTCATATACAACTCGACGATTGGTTTTTATTGATGGCATTTTTGATGTTGAAACATAAACAGGTTCGGGATCAACTCCTTTTTTAATCATAATATATCTTGGCGATGGTTCACGTCTTGGCAATACTTCTGTTGAAACAGTTCGACGTTTTGATAATTTGACATATTGTGTTTTTTGTTGTTCATCGTCGTCATCAGAATCTATTAATATTTCAGCTGGACGTTGTTGCATATAATATTTTTGTTGTTTTTTAGGTTTATCGTTTTCATAAATTGTTTCACGATCACCTGTTCGAGGATCAATAATAACTTTCTTAATAACTCTTATTGGTTCATCATCAGCATAAACAACCTGAGTTTTTTTTGTTCGTAAAGTATTTTTCTTTAATGGACGTGAAGCTAAACGATCAGAAGATATTTCATAAAAGATTGGCTGAGATTCACGAGGACGGGATCTCAATCGTCGATGTTCAATAGGTAATGGAGAAGGTGTACGACTATTACGTATTATTTTTATTATACTATCATCGTCATCAATTATAATTTGATTACCATTTGTTTTTTTTCGTGTTCGTATTTTAGGCTAAATGATAAACAAAATTATTATTTTCAATAATTAAATTCAAGACACACACACATCACGTATTCGACTTCGATAATCGTAATCATTTTCATCATTTGAAATATATTTAATACGTTGTTCTCTACGTGGTTTTATTGAAACTAATCGACCATATATTTGTGAATCATTATCATCATCATCATCATCATTAGGATCGTCATCATAATAATACTGTCTTGTTTTTTTTGGTTTTGGATTTCGTACAAGAACATATTCAGTGTTTCGATCACTCATATTAAATAAAATTGAAAATAATGAATACAAATTCTACGTTGATACTTACATAAATCAACAGGTGGTAGATAATTGAGTTTCTATGCAACGCACTAACCATGGTGTGTAGGCCACAAGTTGTTTAAAAAAAAGGAAGTTTTTTTTTTCTATTCATGTCTTGTATTAATAGAAATGTCAAGGTTTCGTTAAATAATGTTTTTTTATTTAAATAAAAATATGTTTTTCCAAAAGCTATTGTTCAATTAGTTTCATGTCACCAAATTTTAGTTATTAAATAATTTAAAACGGGAACAAAATATTTGATCAATAAAATAGATGAATTGATTAGTTAGTAAGCGATGAGTCATATTTGTTAATAAATTTAAGGACCAGTAAATAAAATTTACTAACAGTCAATTATATCAAAGAGTGATATTAGAAATTGAAATGTGTTATAGTATAATTTACTTTTTTTCTTCTTTTTCTTGGTTCCGTGTGCATTCTAAATAAAAATCATTTTCTTGAAAACTGGCAAAAAAGAGGTTTCCGGGGCTTTTTATGCCCAAAAGAATTTCCGGACTGATCTTAGAAACCTTTGAAAAGTTTTTCCGAGAAAAAAGGGTTTCCGAAATTCGAAAACCTTCAAATCGTTTCGTATAGTGACAAACCCGGAAGCATTGAAGCGTGTCCGGGTTTGTCACTATACGAAACGCTTTAGAGGTTTTCAAGATCAGCCCGGAGACCTTTTTTTGTCGGTTTCCAAGAAAACGATCTCTATTTAGAGTATACCATGTCATGCAGATGTTAAGTACACAATAAATGTAGGCATTCTGATTTTATTCTTTCTTTCAACTTCAGTTGGCCAAGGAACTATGAGTCCTCCAAAATTGAGATAAAAAACTTTAGCTTTCTCTGGTCGAATTCGGGTCTACATTTTTGTGGACCCACAGATCTTTACAGGTTAAAATCTACGAGTAAAAAAGATGAGCATGGTACAAGTTGCTCTATATACAAGTGACGTAACGGATCAAGAAGTTGTGGAAGAAAATTATGAAATAAATGAAAATGAAAGATCTTGCCAAAACAAAGAATAAAAATCTAGGGTTAATCAAAATACGTTTAATTATGTTGGTAGAATAGAAGCATCAATTAGCAATGAATGACCAACAGATTATACGAACTAGACAGAAAGTGGAAGAACAGTTTTTGTACAGATTCGATAAAGTCAAATGTCGTAGACCTTAATGTAGAGCTAGCATTTATCTGCTATATCATGCAGATAGTGAAAAAAATTACTATTTATAAAACTGAAGCTGAGTACGATACTCATAAGAGAATATACGGGTGTGAATGGAATGAAAACTCATTCGAACATACATCCACGCCCTATTTTATACGAATAACAAAACTTTACCGATAAAATTTATGTTTTTCACTGACAAAATCTGGATTTTTTACTGACAAGAGAACATAGCTAACTGTCCAATTGCTTTTTGATCGAGTAATATGTTCAAATGGNAATTCCACTTCCTAAAGTACTTCCTTTTTGATGAGACGATGGCGAGAGATGATGCTTTCGCTATCCTACCAATCTTTGATCAAGTTATTATTACAAGGTATTGCAGCGAACTCCGACAAGAACAAAAAGTTTTTATTTTTATTTTTATTTTTATTTTACAATAGCAATCGTTTTTCTTTTTTCAAAGTTTCATTTCGCAAGAATAAATTTGATAAATACTAAAAGTCTGTTGGATTTGCTGACTATGGAAGTCTTCCGACAGATAAATCGCGTTTAGGTCAAGACTATGTGCTTTATGTAGATCCGAATAAACCATGAATACTCTGAAAATAATTCATATCTTAAGCTTATTGCTATGAAGATACTGCACTGTTATAGTACTTTTTTAAATAAGCGCTGTAGTCCTTCTCATAAACATTGAAAAAAAATTACTTTTTTTGAATGTCGACTTGAATCTTTCCATCAAGACAGGTCTTTACAAGAGTAGTTTTTTGTGAAAGTTTTACATCTTGTCACTATTCTTATCATAAGATACAACTATGGTAGTAGAGTATCTTTTACATTGCGTACACAAGTCAACAGATTTGACGTTCTTATTTTAGGATAGAAGCAAATCATAAGGTCAGAAACTTACACCATAAACTACTGTCCTACAGATGTACCTTATTGTAAAGTTTTACTTTGACATGCATTTAAAAAGTATCATGAAAATTTTTTCTCAGACTATTTATAACGCATTTAGATCTACATAGTGCACATAGTTTCGACTCGAAAGTTATTTATCATTTGGAAGAGTTTCCTCGTAAGTATCCAACTGCTTTAGATAATGCTTAACATAACTAAACGAATAAAAAAAGATGTTATTATGTAAACTGTCGTATTGATGCTATTGTGTATACAACTGGTTGAACAGTAGCTTGTCGTCGTCGTCGTCGTCGTCGTCGTATACAGTTCTTTATAGTACTGAAAAATGTCTGTCGAAATAAAGTTGATGTCAAACAATGAATATAAAAAGCCAAAGAAAAATTTGCATTCAAGAATATAGTCAATATAGCAGTGACAATTAAGAATGTAAAATATTCTGTTGTATTCTGTTGAAAACTTGAATAAATCGAGAACATACGATAGATACCATAGGGTAATGTACATATAAGAAATAAAATAACTTTTGATAACATAAGAAGAAGCATTTGTTTTTGAAGTTGTTGATTACGACGAACTAATGCTACATTTCGTACTTTTCGATAAACAGCAATGAGACAAGCAATCATTAATAATGCTGGTACGAGAATATTAATCCATATTTGCAGAGCAGACCAAGTAAAATAATAGAAAATACCATAGTCAGTTAGATTTGTGCGTAATGGACCACAAATGATACGATTAAATGGAAATGCAGTAGCAAAAGATGGTTGAAGGACATGACTATTGAATGCTACGGCACATGAAATAGTCACAAGAAGAACTATAACAATATTTTTCTTTCTACATATTTGTTTTGTACGATGTGGTAAACGAGCACGAATTACTCGATCGAATGCTATAAAAACTAATAACCAAGGTGATATTGTTTGAACAAAATTAATAATAAATGTTCGAAATCGACATAATGGAATATAATAAAGACTTAATTGAGGTAAACCAAGATTAATAAGAAAAAAATCATGAAGACTCATAAATAAATAGAGCATATCAAATATTGTTATGGTAAGAAAGAGAACAGTTGTTGAAGTCGAACGAAGTCGACGTTGAGAAAATGTCCATAAACTACATGAATGTCCAATAAGACCTAATGAGAATGTAGCTATATAACCATACGTTCCTATTGCTGTTGATAATGATGATGCAGACATCACTAAGCTTATGCTTTATTTTTGATGTTAATACTTTCGAAGAACTAGTGACAGAAAATTTTCTTTTTACTGATTATCAACCGAAGATAGATAAAATAAATATATTATATCTTTCATGCGAATGTATGTGTGTAATGATGTATTAAATTATAGTTTTCATCAAAGACATTTCTTCAAGAATGGCATCAACGGAAACATCACATTCTTACCTACTGTTTTTCTTAAGGAATAATACGCTATGCGTGTGACAAAGAGTAAAAAAAAAACTAAATGAACACAAAGTACTTTTAAAAATTCTAGTTTTTATCTTCAATTAATGTCAAATATCATAAGTCTTAATCAAGGTTGAAGAATGATTTAATATATTTGTTAAAAAGAAACATCTACTCGTTTTAGTAAGAATCTTCCTTCTGGATTTATTTTTCACTTCTTGTTAGAATAAAAGAAAATTTTTGCCGAGTATATGTAATAAGACTTATTACATTCGAAACAAACATTTTCTCTAGTAGATATAATTAAGAAAACAGGTATTTATCTAAGATCAAATGAACCTATGCTAAATGAAAATAAATTATTGACGACGCTAATCTTACTAATGCTTGAGTATGTCATTATTTATTTGGTTCAATAGACAGGATAAAAAAATATCCTATACTCGATGACATATCAGATTTCATTGAAGTTCAACATAAATAAAGCCATTTCTTATTTTAATAGTTATTTTGATTTGTTTCTAGCATGTGAAGATATTCTCTTGCCATGTCCCGATTTCTACAGATATATTTTTCTTTTAATTACAATGACACAATCTTCATTAAGAAGATACCTTAAAATTATTTTTAAACATTTTTGGCTAGATGAATTACTCTTTAATTTATTTCAATAAAATAGAATAGAATGAACATTCAATCTTTCATAGGACTGTAGGAAATAAATAAAACTCCATGTATTTTATGATTAACTAAACCAATATCAAATATAAGTTTTCTAATGAATTAAAATTGTAGAATAAAATATTTGTAGCTTTTTTGAAATTTTAATGAACCATTAAAAATAAACATGCATTTTATCATGCTGTTCTTTTATGAGGAAAAAAACTAATTAGGGAAACGTATCCAACTGTTAATCACCGGTAGAAACGATATTTTACTCACAACTAGAAGTCACTGAAAAAGACCTGGAAGGGTTTCTTCTCATAGACATTTTTAATGAATTATGATCGTTTTATCGAATTTTTCACTTATGACAACATATTCATCAAAAAAACTGAAAAGAATTTTCAGCTGAATCTTTGCTTATAAATAGATCTCTTGATCCTGAAAGTTTCAGTTAAAATGAACGATTTCTTCTCGAAATATTGAATATTCGAAAAAACCAGTCATATGCTACAAAAAAGTCACAAAGCTAATTTTTAGTATTTAATTGACTGAAACTTTCAAGATATATTCAGAACCAAGAGATCTATTTATAGACAGAAATCCAGATGAAAAATTCCTTCGTTTTGATTTTTTTATGAATACCTTGTCATAAGCTCAAAAATCAAATAAAAAGCGGTCATCATTTCATAAGAAAAATCTGTGGAAAAAAATTCTGTTAGATTTTTCTTAATTTCACTGAGTATTAATTATGAGAAAAATATCACTTCGATTGGCGATTAACAGTTGAATATGTTTCCTCATAAGGCAGTTGTCGAAATTCAAAACTCGATAATATCAATTATGATTCACTCATTTTTAAATAAAATATTTAAAACAAAACGAGAACATAGTCAGACTTTTATAAAAGTAAGTTTCATAAAGCAATGGAGTTGTTGCATAAGCCTGGCATCAGTAATGAAATATTGCCTAGAACTTTTTTTTGCAATATCTTTACACAATGAAATAGAGATTGTTGAGTTTTACAAAAATATGCATATTAAAAAATTCTACAATATTTTCTTTGAAATAAAATTTACAAGAGAATATGTCAAGATTAACATGAAGTATTGTACCTTGTTTTTTTCTATATAGCAAACGTACTCAATTTTTAAATAAAACTAGCTTTTCTTTTCTGTATGTTTCTTTTGCTCTATAAACTCACATAAATGATTGTCAGATTCATTATGAAAAACTACATTTAGGAACATAGATCAATTCATGTTTTGTACAAATAGTTCTACATAATTAGTATGAAAATAAAGTAAGCGAAAAAACAAACATACAGAACGGAAAAGATAGTTTTATTCAATAATTGAGCAAATTTGTTCTATAGAAAAAAAAATTCACAAGCTTCATGCTAATTTTCATCATAGTTTTGTTCATAGATTTTATTTCAAGGAAATGATTTGAAAATATTTCAACATACATACCATGATAGAACTCAACAAACTTTATCAAATTAAGTAAAAATATTGAAAAAAAAATTCTAGTCTATTTTTTTATGTATTATTTTTCATTGATTAATGTGGTGTTCTGTTCTAGTTAATACATCATCGAATGAGATAATTTGAACTGTCAATATCTCAAATTCAGAATTTCTGAATTTTTCACAATAAGAAGTAATACGATAACAAGCATGTTCATCACTGAAATTAATTATGATTTCTTCAACGGAAGTTTAAGATTTAGAAATAAGAGATCTCGTATAGAATCGCGTTCTGACAGTTTTCGAACTCTTGCAGTCAGCTGTGTTTTTCTAAATTAGCTTTGTTCGAATGGCAGGTTAGTTCTTTTTTTCTATTATTTATTTAAATATCAAGATATTTGTTAGAAATAAAAAATCTATAAGTGTACGACACGATCTGATATAAGAAAGAACGGAATATCTATTATCATTTAAAAGAGAGAGGATATGGACATATCCATCAAGCTAAGATGAAAAGATCACTTTGAATATGCTTTATTGTGCTATCAAGAAAAAAATTCGTATTGATATATGTAGTGTATTGACAATATTTGGTATTATTGTTACATTTATTTCATTTCTAACATGTTGGTGTTTGTCTACTGATAAGTCATGATTTACATATATGTATAATTCTATACATATTATTTATGTACTCTAATTTCGTATATAACAATATTTCTATTCTATTCTTCATTCCATTTGTATGAGTCATCACAACATATAGATCTCTCTATATATATATGCTTGTGTTTTCTTAAAAAGAGATAACTTTTGTTCGTTTCGTTTCATCTAACTTGTTAGTTGTTTCTGTTCTTCAAGGGAATAAAAGAAGTTATTGACTTTGACCTTTATTGTATTACGCAATTGATAATACAATACATTTTCTGGCTTTTACGTATAACCTGAATACGTGACAATATATGATGTTCGATTTTAGGTCACACAATACTGATGAAATTATTTTTAGTACCAGAAAAAGTTAGAATTCCATTGCTTAGGAAAGTAAGAGTGTTAAACAAGATCAAAGAATCGAATTAGAGTACAAATTATAATCATACATTTATCTTTTTTTCAATTAATAATGCTTCATGAGCAGAGAAGAAGAAGATTGATAATTTTTATTACTTATAAAAATGATAAAGTACATGATGTGTTTTCTTTTAGTAGGATAATTATTTCGATCATCATTGATAAATATAATTTCGAATGAAAACAAAACCAATGAATAGTATTGTATAAAAAATAATCATAATGCTCTTATTATTCTCACTCTTGTACATGTTTTATAGCAAATTATAATTATTATGAAATCATCAACAATGTATCCATACTGTGACAATATCATTATATATTACCTTAAAAAGTTCATTCAGAACAAAAGTATTATGATCATTGAAGAAAATTTTATTAATGCTGATTGAATATAAATAAAAGCAAAATTTTTAAAATAATTATTAAATCTTATTTTTGTATAAGATGTATGATTGCTCACAAATGATTATTTTTGAGAACTGAATCTCTCATTTCATCTTCTAAATAGATTCATCATCAGTTTTATTTCAATTGACATGACATACTTACTATTCTTAATTATTAAGTTATCATGAAAAAACGAAGAAAGTAAAAACATCGGAAAGAAACACGTTAGAATTACTAGTTAGAGGTCGCTAGGATAGAATGATCGAAGCATACATGTATAAAGTCACGAGTGAGGATAGCTCGACGACTATCACAGTTATCATCAAACACGCACTCTGATTCACACACCTACGCCCTACGAAAGTGCATCAATCAAGTTTCGAACATATTTAAATTTCCTTTTCGATATTTTGTTTTAGTCATGTTTTTCCATCCATTTATTATTATAATGATCAAACCTACTTCAGTTCATTACCATGTAACTATTTGATATTTATCCAACATATGGACTCGATTGCATATAACATGTTATTGTAATTTCTATATATGATTGTTTTCATTTCTTCAGGCTCAAGTTACATCAATCTAATTAGAAGAAGACATTGGTTAAATCTTTTAAGCACGAGTTATTTATTTATTTCTAACAGTTATACACAAAAATGTAAACAAAAGAAAACTCATTTTCACTGTTATTTTAAACATACAAGCATCATGAATTATGCAGTTAGCCTTGTATTCTTAATAGATATCTATATATTTTAAAAAAAAGGAATCGAAATATATTGCGAACAAAACGTAGGAATGATTACATATATAAATGTTGCACAATTATAAAAAAAAACTAAAGAAGCAGATCTCATCAATAGAATGTTATGATTGCGTATTATATATAAAAATATTGTTTTAAAAAAGTTTTTTTTCATATGAATGTAAATTATGTACTCCACCTTCAAGTTGAGCTGATGCTGTACGTTTTTCAACTTTAATAACACCTTGATTACATTCATCATGTAATTGTTTAACTGATTGACAACCAATATCTTGAAGTGATTTTTGTATACCTGTATATAGATAACCACCAATAAATCGATGAACACTACCTTTATCTACAACACTTCCTGCAACACCTTGTGCAACTTTAACATGATCTGTTTCAGAATAATATCGACTTGCAGCAGATAATTCTTGACATGCATTCATTGCATCGAGACTACCCATACCACGATCTAATTAATAAAAACAAAAATGAGCTATCAGAATAATTCTTGTCGGATTAAAATGTGAAACACAATGTAGTTGCTGTTGATGATCACAAGGAGATTATTTTATTCTATCTATTGTGGGATAAATTTTCTTCACCATCCTAATACTTAATCCTTGAGAAATGCAATAAGAAAATAGTTCATATATTATAACAAGACGTTGTTGATATACAGTCTGTGATTGTATATCAACAGTATCTGTGAACGATTTCCGATTAGGGGAGAAGGGTATGGAGATGAGAGGGCTTTCCCTACCCTTCCTAAAGTATCTGACTTATTACTAAAATTTGTATCACTTCCTGTCGATTTTTTACAGCTTCGTGGTAGCTTTGAACAAATATCGAATGTTGAAACATTATATGCTTTTCTCTGGCAAAAACTGACAGGCAGTGTCATTGCGAGATAAATAGGATTAAGAGAAGCCACTCGCTAGAAGGTCGCCTATTGTCAGAGGAACCGGGTCAGGCTCTTCTTACTTCCACTTTACTGTGTGTATTTAGGCGGACATTTGGTTAAANTAAAAAAGTGAAGACCACGAAGTTTAGTAAATTTTCATTTTTCATCAATTATGTCAATTTCCAGCTAAACTTGTATACCTTATATCTCCCTACAGGAACGGTTTTGTAAGCTGGAATTTTTACCATAGATACAACTCATCGAACTCTACAAGATCGAATATGTTTTGATTAATTTAAAGACACTTGTGTTTTTTGTGGTAGAAACTCCGTGGACGTGGCCTATATGCTTTTCTCTGGCAAAAACTGACAGGCAGTGTCATTACGAGATAAATAGGATTAAGAGAAGCGACTCGCTAGAAGGTCGCCTATTGTCAGAGGAACCGGGTCAGGCTCTTCTTACTTCCACTTTACAGTGTGTATTTTTCTTATGATAGATGGATATGTGGTTTTCTTGCTAGAAAACGGATTTATTTGCTCAGAAGTGATTGGATATGACGCAAAAAAGCATTAAAGAAAAATATTTTTTCAGCAAAATTGTTTCGTGTTATATATCACTCGACGCAGTTTAATGCGCTGATACTGAATATACTATTTTTGTCGATTTAAATCTTTTTTCAAGATTAGAAAAATACCTAACAATGTTAAGTTTTTCGGAAACTCATTGTGCAGTTCAGGCATGTTTGCGCTGACATAGATTAGAGATAGTAAATCATTGTATAGAGCTCGGTTGGGAGATTTAAAAAATGTAATTGATTTGTCATTTTTATTTTCTTTGAAATTTGTAATAAAATTATTTATACCATTAGATAGACTATATTTCGAAACATATTTTCCTATATTTAAATCTTGAATAAGCACGATTTTCATTTTTAACCAAATGTCCGCCTAAATACACACAGTACTTCCCTCTCAGTCATTACTTCTAGCGTTCTGATAAAGAAAACACTTTTTGCGGAACGTTTTGGATTTTCTACCGAATCTTAAGCTCCTTTCCCATCTGTAGAAAATATGGATAACCCTGCATCTGTGGTGAGGAGTCTAAATTTCTACTTTATATAAAATAATCTATCAGAATAAAATCGTCTATTTACATTTTTTAAGTCGAACACCATCTTGATAATAATATTCACCAGGTGCTTCCTGTGTACCGGCTAATAAGGAACCCATCATAATGCAATCAGCTCCTAATGTTAATGCCTTAACAATATGTCCAACACATGATATTCCACCATCAGCAATAATTGGTATATCAAATTGACGAGCATATTCAGCTACTTTATAAACGGCTGTTGCTTGAGCTCGTCCAACAGCCATAACTTCTTGTGTTATACAAATTGATCCACTACCCATACCAACACGAAGTGCATCAGCACCAGCATAAATTAAACTTTTTGCTTGTGCCTGTGTAACAACATTGCCTGCAATAACTTGTATATGTGGATAATTTTTTTTAATATGTTTTATCATATCAATCTGATAGATAGAATTTCCTTGTGATGAATCAAGTACAATAACATCAACACCAACTTGTACAAGAGCTTCAAGACGTTTTTCATCTTCTTTTCGTGTACCTATGGCTGCTCCACATAATAACTGTCGACGATTATCTTTTGATGCTAATGGATAATCACGATTTTTTTCCAAATCAGTACGAGCAATTAATGAAACGAGATCACCATTGGAATCAACAATAGGTAATTTACCTAAAAGAATTTATTTTCGAAAAAAACAAATTAAAAGAAAAATATATTTTTATTAGAAGATTTATATAATTATTGAAATATCTATGAATAAAAACCTATTCAAATATAAAGTTTCTTTCTTTCACTAGGAATAATTTACATTATTCTTCAAATAGAACTCTAATAAAATAATTAATTATGTATTGATCAAGGAGCCCGTATATATTTATATATACGGATTGAGCTTTCGTACAGAATATAACTTTTTACAATCTCCTCTTTCTTCTTGGGCCAGAGGGTATTTTTTGTCTTTTCCTTTTTCTATTCCAGCATCATTTTATGATATCACTGTAAATGTATATCAAACGGAAAAGAAGAAATTACGGATTTAGAGATCTATGAGAATTCACAGACTCTCTCTATTCCTAAAATCGTTCAAAACTCATGTGAAATCGATAAAATTGCATAGAATCCTAGAATCATTATCGCCTTAGACAGCTATTATCACTGCTGGAACTCTAACCTTTCAGAAGATGATACGTTCAATTTTATTAGATCTAAATTATCATATAAAATCACAGAATCATTTATAGAGTTATGCGAAGGACTTCGTTAAGTATTACGTAGCTGTACTCGATTTTACAAGCACTTAATTTCATTGCATTGATTGAAACCTAAAGTAATTCACTGTTTTTCTTTGAAGTATATATCACATTAAAGAGTTCTATGAGCAAATCTACATTTTTTTATCATCTTTGCAAAAATATCCTATAACTAAAGAGTTAAGAGAACATTTGTTTTTGTTTTTGTAGACTCATAAGAATGCTAGGTAATCTATTAAATTCATGAAATGACATCAACTGCTTTTAAGTATCAATAAATGAACATGATATTAATCACGTCAGTACTTTGAATATTTACTTTTAGTCAAAAAATAAAGCTTTTTTTTTTTAAAATATATCAGCTCTTCTGCTTCATCCTAAAAAAATATGGGCAGATGGTTTGCTTCCTTTAAGATAAAAATAACGAAGGGTGTCAGATAACACTTGAAAAATATTTAACAATATCAAACATGTGTCATGAAGACAGTGATTAATAGAAAACATTCGCCGAATTGGGACGATTTCAGTAATACTCTCATGTCACGTATTTGATGACACAACTAATTGTATACCGGCAATAGTTTAATGACAAAGAGTACTCTCCCCATTTTCGAAATTTCTAGAGAATTGTTCATAAGAAAAATTTGAAATATGCAAGACAAGCAGATCTTAACGAGTAAAGCAAAAGTTATCATAGACTAAAAATTTCTGGATACTGTCTTCTATGAAATACTGAACTTACATTGACGAAAAATGGTTCCCTCGTTTCTCTGAGATGTTATGTTTGATTGAGCGGAAAATTTTTTTCTTTCAAGCACTAAATACTGTTTGAAATTGATATCTATTTATAAGACCTACCAAAAATCAGCAGAACAATATTTTTTTAAATCAAAAATGAATATCTATTCCAGACAGTGTATAGTGTATGTAAAAAAAGTTTCATCGTGATCGGACATACTAGATGAGAGACATGATGAAGTTTCGATACCTTTTTTTCATGAAGAAATTAGTTTAAGAAAAACGCGGTTGGCTACTTTTGTTACGTAAATTTGATTATTTAACGTTTATAAAGATAACTTTTGGATTCCAACATATACGTAGTAAATAGATACTACTTCAGACTATATAATGACTACAAAAACTTTGGTTCACAAAACAAAAAATGTATCCTTGAAGAAAGGCATGTCGTATCACTATAATAGGCTTTAATCATTCTATATGTTTTTTTTTCTTTTAAATTTCTTATTAAACAACAAAAAAATAATAATAGTAATCTCATAAATTAAAAAGAAAAATCTTGACTAACCTTTTTTACTTCGTTGTAAAATATTATAAGCGTCTTTAAGTGTAAGATCATTTTTAGCTGTAATAAGTTCTTCAATTGGTGTCATTACTTGACTAACAGGAATAGTTGACCGTTGATCTTTAGGTAAAAAATCAATATCACGAAATGTTATTAAGCCTAATAATTTGCTATTAATTTTTCCACTTTCAGTCACCGGAATACCTTTTCATATTAATAAAATTAAATTTTAAAAAATGAATAAAATAAAACATTTTTTTTTTTGTTTTTTTTTACCAGAAAATCCATGTAATTTTTTAATAGCATAAACATCTGCAACTGTATTAGTTGGACCAAGTGTTAATGGATCAGTTATAAAACCTTGTTCATATCGTTTAACACGTCTTACTTCACTTACTTGATAATCAATTGAACAATTATGATGAATTATTCCAATTCCACCATTTAATGCCATTGCAACTAAAACAAATATATTCATGTTTTTAATTCTTATGTTATAAATCTTACTAGCCATTGATGATTCTGAAACAGTATCCATTGGACTGGATACAAATGGTGTTTTAATAGCAATTAATTTTGTAAGTTTAGATTGAAGTGAAACATTATCCGATGGAAAACTAATAAAACCAGGTAGAATAATAAAATCATTATATGTTAAACCATCATTATTTTCAAATAATTGTTTGACTGTTACACCATCGGATAATGAATCTTGATCATCATGTTTAGTATTACCATTTTGGAACATGATTTTATTTTTCTTAATAATTGTATTTTAAAAAACGAACTTATGATATTAGAAAATATAAAAGAAAGAACGTGATAAAATGTTATCTTTAACATTGATTGTAGCTCGAACTATTTTTTTATGATTGGTTGATAATTATTAAATAAATGAGATAAACGACGAATAGTCAGTCATCAACATTTGTTATCGAATATATTTCATTTGAAATTAAAAAATTATTATACATTATTAATGTAAAGAAAAACGAATAAAATCAATATTTTTGTTGTATTTAAAAGATTCATTCATCAATATATTTCAACAGTGATGGTTATAAAATGAAAACGTTTAGTTTTGAAAATTTATTTGTGTACTTATCTGTGTCCTTCAAAAGAGTTGAAAAAATTTTTTTTTCGAAAATTTTTTTTAATGCAGAAACAGACTTTTTGAGAAAAAAAAATTTTCAACTTTTTTGAAAGGAGCTGTTCAAAAAGCTCAGCTCCTATCAAAAGAACGTTCGAACAGCTCCTTTGATTGGAACTAGAACTGAACTGTTACACCCCTACTGTCGACTTTGCCAAGGTGCTTAACTAGTTGGTAGATTAATCATTTTTTTTGCGAAAATCGAAATTTTTATAAGAAGTATTTAAATATGATTTTTGCATTGTTATACTCAAGAAAAACTATTCGAACATATTATTGATCAGGCAATAAATAAAAACTTCTTTACTACTTCTAATCGGCTTTTGTATATACTTAGTTTGACGATTAACTTTATGTCCCTATTAGATATAGTTGAAGAACGAGGTTCAGTCAAAAACAAAGATGTTTTCACTGAATATGTCTTAATGTTGGCTAAAATATTAGTGATAGAATTTTATTCAAATTTATTGTTCGTGAGAACTGAATGCCAACAACTGAATTTTATCTTGATATGGAAATAGTTGTACGAAATTGTATTTTTAAAGATAAGAAGCGAATAACGTTTATCGAAACAATTGTAGAATATTATTTTATTTTTCTTGTATCGAATTCATTTTGTAAATATAATTTAATAGGAAAATATCTTTGAACATTTGTTTCGTATGAATAAAATGAAGCTTGTAAAGATTTATTTCTTGATAATCGATAAACTATTGGAAGCATAGGAAATAGAATAATGACAAGTGTTACTGAAACTTTTTTTAACGGCAATGGCTTCGTCAAAAAATTTCAATACGTAAGATTGGATGTGGATGTGGTTCTTTTATATACTCACACTGACATCCTGATGACGCAAACAAGTGAAAACTTTTTAACGATTAGTAAAATAGTTATTTAATGAACATGTAAAAAGTTATCGAACATCTTGATCAAGAGAAACATGAACATAAAAAACGTTAACAATGTCTTCAAGATGAAATTCAACGTTAAAAATGTGATCTTCGTCTTGAACTTCATTGTAAAAAAGATACGGAATAAAAAAACTTAAGTATTTCAAAGTAAGTTATGCAATGAAAAAAACATAATATCAAAAAGATTTCATATGATGCATCTATAGAGCAAGAACTGTTCATGAAAAAGAATTTCTTATTAAATCACAAAACATAACGTATTATTCGAGGAAAATGACTCACGAATAACGAGGTAATTAAAAGAATATATAAATACTCTATTGAAAAGGTAAAAGTTAGCATCCCAGGTTTTTACAAATCTCCCGGAAGGAATATCATGTTCTTGTCGTTTATATCTATTTAGTTTCTCAAAAATGAGTATGTGAGATATCAATATATAGCACGAAAAAAAGAATTATTTACTCATGAGATGATCGCGACATTCTAAAGTTTGAATTTTTGCACTTAATCTTTACAGATAAATCATAATTTAATCTTCAACAAAATATGCATGAGATAAGCTCAACTCAAGTAACACAGTTTTAATTGTACTTTTTAAAAAAATGAAGTATATTTCGATTTTAGAAATGAAACAGTGTGGACGAACAGAAGAAAATAAAACATAATTTTTGAAACGACACTGGTTAATTATTTTGATAAGAGTACGGAAGTTTGTTCTCAAGGATTTTTATCACAAAAAAATGGCATATTCATGAAATATTTTCATCAGTAAAAACTGAACGGACCGAACCACTTTTGCCAAATCGATTCGAACTCTAATGTGGCTGTGAGGTATGAATTTGTCGTGCATTCCTTGACTTCTGTCGACTCTGTATATGAAGTTGTATTTTTAAGAGCTCCAGGAATTCAAAACTCATCAAATCCGGCCACTACTGAGTCTAAAATGGATTTATTCTTTGTATTATAAAATACGAAGTGTTATATCTTTTCAACATCTCATGGTGATCGTGTCGATTGGAGAAATCGCTTTTGATTCAGACTATATTACATGGCTAAGTTTTAGTGATTGATGAACAATTCTGAGATGAAAAGTGCTTGTATGAGCTGTTTTCAGCGTTATTAGTAGTTTACTGTGATAGTGACATTTGACGTATTACATCATAGAAAATTTGTTCTCGGTTCGAAATATCTTCATTCACAGAATCATGAATGAAACGGGCTAAAGAAAAATCTAAGAAATCAGTGATGAACTTTTTAGAGGTAGAATATCAATTTCAATTTAGAAATTAATAGTTGATCTCACGTCTTGATCTTCAAAGGATACAGAAATACTGTTCATTTGTAGATACATATTTAGTTATTTAATTCTTTTCGTGTTCCATCTAGTTTTCCAAAAACTTGTATTTATTATCTGTCGTCATTTTGTGATTCTATCTGAAATTCTGAATTAATTTTTGTCGTTTTTTTAAAAACTAATATATAAGAAATAAATACATTAAATCTCCTATATACACTGATAAATACATTGCACAAGCCGAGACATTATGATAAACTGATTTTCGAGTATACTTTACGAATTAAAATATCCATCATAAGGTCATGGATAAAATGATAAATAGCACACTTCCATGATTGTCTACATCGATTTTTTTTTTGATGATATAACATGGTTATTATGGATAATGATATTGGAGTATTCAAAAAGTACAGCAGAGGAATTTTCACCATCGCTAAAAAATTAATTCATATGTTTGATAAATCAACGATCCATTTATAAACATGAGAGAAATAATTTTTCTGGTAAAACATCTTTACACTTTTTTGTTTCAATCAAACAGCTAATGCTACCATGGAAACAGTCGAATATCCAGTCAACACTACGGGCAAAAATTATATGTACCGCTCAAGGATAAGTAAGAAATACGCTCATTTTTTAGAATTTGTATATTATTCGGCAAGATTTTTAACTAATGAGTCTCACTCAAGATATTTTCACATGTTCTTGTAAACTTTGTTTTCATTATGCACTTGACTATTCGATTATTGCATCGATTAGACGTGAATTATTGTGCATTCTTTATTTGAATTCTAACAACACAATTTAATTCACAGATCAGTCTACAGTTAGCACAATATTTCTCTTTTATGACAGTGCAATCGAAAACTATCTGTAAACATATGAAACTGGAATGTTCTCCAACAGCAATGTTAATCACTAAAATGAATAACAATCAGCATCTTTCCAAATACTCTATTCTAATTCTACTAATTTCTCATCTGATTAGCTGCTCAAACTTGAAACCTTTCAACTTGTTTTTTTGTTAACTTTTGAGAAGATATTTATTGCCCATAAAGATAAATACTAATGCATTTGAAGGAAATTATCATGCACATAAAGGTAGAAAATGAGTAAGAGAAGAAGATAGAATCGATATTGCACAAAAATAGAATAAAATCATGAGCATGACGCATCTCTATTGCGTCGTCGAACCACGTTGTGAGAGACAAGATACTTTCTTTCTCTATATAAATATATTATAGTTGAAAAAGAATCAATTCCTTTCAATGATGTATGCGTCACATAGTCGATCATTGCACATATTTAAATGTCACCACTCATTCTGCTAATCTCATTTTAAGTAGTAAGTGGAATCACACGAAGAGATGATAGTAATTGCTTCCTTCTTGCTTTCTTTACTCATTGTCACATGAGCAAAAATCAATATTTTATTTTCGATTCCCAATTCTGTACATTTCGATTTCATAAGCAAGTCTTATCTAAGTAGTATTATTTTCAAGAATGAAATTAATTTTAGTAATTCTATAATATTTCTACTGAACTACTACGTGTCGTACAAATGAAATAAATATTTGTTCAAAATGCTTGAGTCTCTGATTATCGCACACCTACATATTTCTTTCTAAAATTTTGTTTATCAAATATGTACCCTTGGATGAAAATAGTNTGTCGTCCACTAAAATTTGGCTTACAATGACATTGACCACGTTGATCACATGCTAGAAGAGACAAAAAGGAATATAACATTGAACCATCATTAGACATTCTCTTCAGGCTTCTAAGATTTTCTTTAAAATATCTTGATTTGTCGAAGCATCAAATGAAAGAAAAAAAATAGGTTTCACAGACTAACTGTTAAACACATGATAGATCTCTTTTCATAGATCAGTATGTATTTCGATGATTGACGTTATGGGCGATATTCTGAGATGATACCTTGAACATATATATACGAACCTACTCATTTATTAAGGATGTGACTTCGCAAAGTCGAAATACATGTATCTAAGTTACTCTAAATATTCTGAAAGAGTCAGCACTAGAGACCTTTGTATAGGACAGTTATCAGTAAAACAAGTATCGTTAGCGACGTGAAACATCAACTTTCATTTCATGGGTTTTAGTTTAGAAAGTCTTGAATCGAGGCAGCGTTTTAAAAAATTAAATAAAGTACATTCTGTAGACAAGTCTTGAGGCTAAAAGTCTTTGTCGAAAATTTTTTTTTTACGAGCATGTCTAAATTTTTCAAAAACCTCGATTTACTTTTTGCTAGTGACATAATGGAGTACGAATATATTATAAATGAAGACAATGCTCTTATAACTGAATGAGAAGTTTAAAATCAATTCCAAAATGGTGAAAATTTATCTTCAGACTCTGTAGATGATATTAAGACAAAATTTTTTTTTTCCGGAGATTGATAGAATCTTCAGAAAAACGATTTTTAAGGGTGCATTTTTCTAGAGTCTGATCTTGCTAAAAACTTCATCACAAATGCGATTTGTGCCGTAGAGCCTATCCTGAACTTTTCGTATTTTTTTCTCGTATCATTAGAGAGATATTTACTAATTACTTTTTGATTAATTAGCTGAGTAATTAATAACTTACAAGGAATCAAAGTCAAATAAAGAATGAGTCTATTCCGCTTTGTCTGAAATGGGCCATATGATAAATATTCAGAAAGAGTGAACGTAAAGGATGATCTTTTTGATACAATTCAAAAGCAAAAAGAAAAAAGAGTTATTGAGAGATATAACATCTCATTGAAATGTTTTAATCTTTGTAAAACGAACCGTCATAGACAACTCCAATTGGATCACAAGCACATGGTTCACATATTGGATGATTGAAAAATCCAGATGCACATTGTTCACATGTTTGTCCAGTAAAATTTGCTTTGCATAGACAAGCACCTGTGTCTTTATTACATACTTCTGGTGTTGAACCTAGATATCAATTTGATTACAGATATCTATTTATTTCGAATTCTTTTTCCTTTATTCTTACCATTATGATTACAAACACATGGTAAACATCCTGGATATCCAAAATGACCATTTTTACATGTATTACATGTGCGATTTTGATAATTTAATCGACATGGACATTGACTTTTAATAGAAAAAAATATCAAGTAAAAGTAGAATTTTTCATTTTTTTTGTTTTATCTTACCCCGTTTCAGCATCACATATATTTCCATCACTACCAGCTCGTTCACATTCACATGGAAGACAACCAGCTTTAAAATTATAATAACCAGGTGCACAACGATCACAATAATCTCCTTCAAAATTCATTTTACATACACATCGACCAGAATCCGGTAAACATTTATGATCAGCTGTACCATTAATTGAACATAAACATGGTTTACATCCAGCTGCATAATCAAAATATCCAACAGCACATTCATCACATTCTAAACCAGTAAATTGTGGTTTACATTCACATGTACCTGTACCTTCAGCACAAGTACCAGTTGAAACTTTTAAATCACATTTACATGGTTGACACATATCAATATCACTAACTTTACGTGTAAAATTTCGAAAATATCCTCGTACACATCGTTCACAATTGATGCCTTCCGTATGATGTTCACAGTTAAGACAACGTCCACCACCTTCATATTTTCCATGTATATCAATACTTAATTTTTCTTTTTCGACTTTTTCATCATAAACACATTCAGTTGAATGACCATAACATTGACATGGTTCACATTCAAATGCACCATCAGTTGAATCACGTGATTGACGCCATTTTTTTTGCACATATGGTTCACAACATTCTTGACAATAATCGCCACATGTATTATGACGACAACGACAAACCATTTTATTTGGAGTTTTTGAATGAGGTTTATCACATGATTCAGCATGACCTACGAATGAAAAAGAAATAAAATTGATTATAGCTATTCTTTTGCATAATTAAGGGAACATTCATTCGCCATCTAGTTCCAGGATTTCTGAAGAATGGCTCATTACAAAGATTTGAAATCTTCAGGGCTGATAGATCTTGACGAGTGGAGCAAAATTTGTCGTAGACTCAAAGTATTCAAATGCTATCTTCTATACGATACTGGGATCACAATGGCGAAATATGTCCGCTCATTTTTTTAGGATGCTATGTTTGATCGAACTGAACATTTTTCTTCAGGCACTAGACATTGTTTTGGGTGGGTATTGTTTTATTTTTTGTCCTTCTAATCAAAGATTCAAAATGTTGAAACTTATGTTGTTGTGAATAGACCTTTTTTGTGAGCTTCCACAAATCAACAGAATAATATTTTTGGAAATAAGACAAAATCCCCATCATACACAGTGTATAATGCATATGAAGAAAGTTTCAACTCGGTTATATGTACTAGACCGAAGAAACGGAGGGCGTCTTTGCACTTTTTCTTTTCATAAAAAAGTTCGTGTGACAAAAACATGATTCGCTCTTTTCGTTACCTAAAGTTGTTTTTTTTAACGCTTAAACACAATTTTTGCACTCAGTAGAGTGATAATACTTCAGACGAAACGTTAGTCAAAAGATAACAATTTTGGGTCACGAAAGGAGAGGACTTACCTCTAAGATGTTCTTTCCTTAAAAATCAATTTCAGGCTAAGTATATTCAAATCGCATGAAACTTTCAGGATATATTTGAACTATAGTGAAGAGACTAGGATAAAATTTTCAATCCTATACTATTCAGCAACTCAAAAGTCTCTGCGGGCCTTCATTCCATATGCTTAATTTTTTTGTTTTGTTTGAAAGATTATGTCAGACTGCAGTGCCTAACAGATGTTTTGCTTTTAAATTCAAACTTTCTTTTAGCGACGAGAACCAATAGGACGTTCAATCTGTCAAAAATGGGAATGTACTTATAGAAGTCGTTTTTTAAATGATAATAAGAAATCTTATGTAAAAAAAAACGAGCTCTTTTAACAACGATCAAAAAAGCTTAAACGAAGAAAAAACGAAAACAAAACTATTTGAATAGTAGTTTTAGTATTGTTTTGGTAGATTTGAATAGAGTAATCACAAACTATCATGTATCTTTTTTTAGACTACATATAAATGAACTTTTTTTAAAGGTTTATTTAAATTTATTACACGAATAGTTTTATTTTCTGTGATATAACTCAGTTGAAAATGTTATAATATCACGAACTGTTTTTTGTCTTAGCTCCCTTTTTTTTTAAAAGACAAAAGTAGCAAGTACATTAAAGAGTTTTCTTGCTATGTGAATCACTGTCGCATAAAAATCTGCTTTAAATAAAACTTTTGTTGTGGTTTATCAGTCAGTTAATTTCTCATTTCTTGTTACATGAGGTTTAATTTTCTACAATGGTTGATGAAGTTTATTAAAATGTCTTTATGTTCCATTAAAGTGCTTATTTTCCGCACGAATATCTCAAAATCCATTTTTTCCAGAAAAACTTGTGTGTTTTTTAAGCTTTTTTATGACGGAAATCATCAGAGAGTTTAACAAAAAAAGCTTCACATCAAGTAATATGTGCCATTTCCAGCCGGAAAACTTAGGAAAATCATTGAAATTGGGAAGCAAGGATCCGAAGGGTCAAATCTGCTCGGTCACGACAGGAACTACAAAAATCCGGTCAGCGGCTTCGATCACTATTTTTCCGGATCGCCTGACTGGAAACGGTGTCGTTCTGACGGAAACCTGCCGTAATCATTTACCTAGGAGAAGATGCTGAATAACATGCATGTTATCTATGACACGCTACACTTCAGACTATGTCTCCATGTATTTTATCCTCCTTTCGTTCTTTTTTTTTGATGAAAATTGACTTTTCTGAATGATCAAAGACCTTAATATAAGAGCATTCTATTCAATGCAACAGTTTTCATTTGAAAGATTAATTTCATATAAATCTGTATAATAATGAAAAAAAAGCAAAGAAAATTTTGTTCTACAAGTTAATATAACAAATTATCTTTCATATTATTTCAATAAACAAATCATTTTCACTTCACTGATAAAATCTTATAAAAACAGAACTTGAACTTTAATATATTTATATATTTCTACTCAAAACTAGAGATATGCAGTTTTTCACACTCATACAATAGAAATACGTCAAATAAATCAATGAAAGTCAGTATGAGTTATCGGTAAACAGTTTTCTGAAATAGCATATTCCTATTTCAAATCCCTTCAGGCTTAGTTCGGTTCGTTTTTCGTCTGTAATTCTCAATATAAATTTCAATAAACTAACCATTGCATTGACAATGTCCACCAATACCAATATCTCTAATTGAATAAAAATATCGTCGTGTTACTGATTTATCATGACTATCATGAATAATTGAATGAGAATGTAATGTTGTTGGTCGAAGTAATCTTAAACGAACATTTGTTGCACGTGTCCATTGTTGTAATGTATCACTATAGGAAAAATTTTTAATATTTGGTCGATCATTGATTAATGATACAACCATTTCACCTCTAACAATATAAAAAATTTTCTTTTTTTTATTATCCACTAAACAAAAAGATAACAATTTACCCTTCTAATGGTATTCGACTGGCGTATTTTGTTTCACAAATAACATCATCATCTCGTGAGAATGTACGATTATATGATGGTTCAATTCCAAAGATTGTACGACATTCGACATCACTAGCAAAATAATACCATGTTGAAAATGTTTTTCCATAATCAGTTGAACGTTCTAATGACCAAACAGCAGGTCGAGGTGAATTAGCCATACGAATATAAATATATGCTATATGATATTCTTGACCTAGATTTACGGTTATATTTACTTTTTGATATTCCAGACCTCGTGATAATGGTGGTGACTGGAAAGAAAATTAAAAGATTTTTTTTTTGTTTACTAAACTTTTTTTTTTCTCATCTGATTACCTGCCACCATCGATCGGTTCCATCAATTGTATAATTAACAATATGTTTTTTATCTGGTATATTATGATCACAATAATCACAATATTGACCATAGATTAAATTTGAATCTTTATAATCTTTTTCATAAGGTGATGAACCAGTTAATTTACAATATAATTCTTTTTTATATTTAGCTTTATTCGGATTATCTTTATCAATAAATTCACCACATGTTGATGTTGCTGATACAGTGATATGTTTTTCACGAGCAAGATTTAAATAAGGTGGTCTTAAATTTTCACCAAAAGTAGTGATAATAAGACATCCTAGCAAGAGTAAAAGTTCGCGTACAGACATTGTTCAATCACACAACTGAACGTTGATGTCTATGCTTTTACGATAACGCGTATATAACAACAAGACAAAAAGAACCTCAATGACCCGTATATATGACTATGCTTAAAACGTATACTGACCAACACAAAGAAGAAATAAGAACGATGGTGGTCGATAGTAAGAGAATATAGGATGTGGCCCCGCTTCATTTATCGTTGAGAAAAAGAACCGTATGTATATACGTATTTGCTTTTTCTCTCAAAGATTGTACTTTGCTTGCTTTCTTTCCTTTTCATTCACGATAATAGTAGACAAAAAAAAAAAGAAAGAATGAACATATATTTTGATTCAATCGAATGACCGATATATATATATATATATGATGATGCAACAGTTAACGGTGATATCACCATATTTTGATTAAAAATTAAATATGTAAACTTTTAACAAGACAAAAAAGAAAAATGATCATACGAATAGATAACACAACAATTTTACAGATAAGACAAAAAAAATACATCAACTTCTGTGCATTAACTTTATTTTTTCATCAACAAAACTAACAGCATGAGTTCCTTGTTTTGTTATTGAAGGACGTGCTGATGATATATTAGATTCTTCTATATTAAGTGTTCCTTGTCGATATCTTTTTGGTACAGTTTCAGTTAATTCTTTTTGAGAAGTTGTTGATGATACTTTAAAAAAACAAGAATAAAGTGCATAAAATTCACGTCGAAAACTTCGATTAATATAATTATAAATTACAGGATTAAACCATGCCGATAAAGATGATATTAAATAACAAGGTATAAGTAAGAAACCATAAACAAAATTAGCTCCATCACGTGTATATAAAATTTCTTCATTATGTTCTAAATAAAGTTGTGCAATTGTTAATGGTAACCATGATATAGTAAATAGAGCAGCAATACATATAAGTAATTTTCTACTACGATGAAAACGTCTTTTTGTATGTGATTGACTTTGTAAGTAATGTTGTTGGTCAGTTAATGGTAAAGAATTTCGTTCATTAAATTTTTCACGATTTTGTGATGCTTGACGTATATGTGGTAATAAATGACTAGATCTATCATCAGTTGAATTTGTTGTTGATGATGTATCATTATTATGTGGTACATCTTCTTCTTGTTCTGTTATTTCATATGTCATATTTAATGATTTTGTTTTCTGATGTTTTTGTGAATTTTTTCTTGAATAATGAGGTGTTTGATAAGCACACATACGTTTCATTCGTTTTTTAAGAAAACGACTTATAGAATAACAACTTACAGATACAAAAAGAAATGGTACTAAATATTGTACAGTAATAACAAAATAAGAAAATATTCTCATATGTAAACCAGGTTCTAAAACACAATAAAAAATTTTTTTCATTTGACATGGTTGTTTTATTTTATAATAATCTGCTTGTATATTTGTTACATTATTTATTTTTAATGATAATAATGAATAATTATTAAGCATATATGGTACAATAGTTGCTGGAATAAATTCTTGTAATTCTCGTGAAATAAATTCTGGTAATGCAATAAATATTGATACAAACCAAAGTAAAATTAATGTTAAAATTGTACAATTACGATGAAATTTTTGTTTATTTACTATAAAAAACCAACGTTCAACTGCTATAACAGCAACAGTAAATGTTGATACAAGTGCTGTTAATGTTGGAGTAAAATTAACTAATTTACAAAGAAATGAACCAAATACCCAATGTTCAAGTAAAGCAGCAGATAATGTCATTGGAATTGAAACACATAAAACAATTAAATCATTTAAACCTATGAAAAAAGAGAAAAAAAAACACGATAGAAATCATTACATAGTTTAGATTTAGAATAAACTTTTAATTTACATAGATTCATTAAAAATGTATTCGTTATAGAACGTAATTTTCTTTGTTGAAAAAATATAAGACATACACTTATATTACCAAATACACCAAAGCAAAATGGCAATAAATAAATAAAATATATAATAATTGTAATACTGAGAGAAAAACGAAGTTTCGCTGTTGGTATACTTGTCGAACTAAATTGATAGTTTTGACCATCATTAAAACAAGTGTGAATAGAATTTGTTAGATTTAAATCCATATGTTACACTAAATTAGATACTTTAAATCTAAAGGAAAAAGAACAAGTAAAGACATGCACACCATCCGCAAACTTTGCCCCTTTTATACTACGCATCATAGAATGAGCTTATATATGAATACTAACATTTTTTTTCTCTAGGTGAAAGAATAAAAATAATGAGAAAACAGGTAGATATAGAATTAGCTTTGTTAAGTTTCTGAAAATTTTCTACCCAAAAGAACATCTTCAGTTTATTTATGCCCTGTTTATATTTATGAAAGAAAAAAATTAAAATGATTTTTATCCATTCACTTTTTTTTTTTTATTAATTATGTTAATAAATGGATTCATAATGATTCTAGATTTAGAAAAACGGAAGCAATTCTTCATTTTTCTTAGATTGTATGTGAAAGTTGCATTTTGATGATAAAGTTGTATGGTGGTTTGAAGAAAAAGAGTCATTTGACGATACTTTTTTCTTTATTCTCAAGTATCTTTTTATCAATTATAAAATAAAATATTTATCATTTATAACTTTAAAAGAATTTTTGGTCTTAAATCTATACATATATAACGTTTTGACTTACTGACAACTCAATGCGAAGTGTGTTCTATTTAAAGAAAAAAAAACACCGGATCTTTTTTTTTTTCTCTTTAAATCCGAAGAAATATCGAATTACGAGTACATACTTTCTTTTCTATTAATTGCATGTGAACACTGTCATCTCAAAACGTATGTAGTTTTAAAAATGACATATCAGTTAAAATGCTCTGCAGATGATAATGTTTTTCTTTGACATTTAACGCTACTAATAACACAAAAAATAAAATAGGATAAATTGTCTTTTGTTCAACAATGCAGACAAATAATTATCATAAAATTTAATTCGAACGAACAATAGCTCTGTCTATAGGTTAAGTCTATTCTATACACATGATGACCTGAAAGATAGTCTTCTCTTTTCTTTTCTGTTATTCTGTTTTAAATATATCTATAAGTATAAATGAAAAATTTTACAATTGATTTAATTAATAAATACTTAATTCATATTACATTAAAATGTAAAACAAGAAATTTTTTGATATACAACATACATTGATGAATTAATAGAAAAGAAAATATTACTTACTCAGAATAGAAAACATCTCAAGTCATCGAAGTCTATATTCTTCGTGCCGTAAAAGTCATCTTTCATAGCCAATAGCACGTCTGCTCGCTAATTACACTCATTTACTGACTTTCCATATCGTATATTTTTTTTTTTCTAGAGAGCCTGCGGAACATTTATTATGTCAACAGATAGATTGAGAATTAACTAAAAGAAACACACTCGTATGTGCAATTATTAGTTGTCAACATATGTCATTCGAGAACAAAGGATCAAACTATATAAAAAATAACTGAAACATGTGATATATTTACGTCCGATTAGGAATGATAAACCTATCATCATATGAAGATTTTTCCTATTTTCATGCTTGTTAGCATAAAAAAGAAAACTTTCAGTTTTCTTTGTTTTTCTGTCTAAATAATCATAACTTGGTAAAAACATGTTCATGAATTTATGTCAACTACTGACAAGACCAAACATCCGTTTCGAAAAAAGCAATGACAAAAAATAAAAAAAAGAAAGGAACAGAAACAAAACACATCTTACTATAATCTACTGAAAAAACATGAGAAGGCAATCGAAGACAACTAACAAGCATCGTATAAACATATAATTTATAATAAGACACAATAAAAAAAAGTGTTTCGTTGAAACTTAACAACACCGAGTTGATCTATATATCTAATATGAAAACAACATGCGCTATAAAATCTTGTCTTTATTGGTTAATATAGTCCTGTTCATGTTTGTTTGTATGCTAAACTTTTCTTTTCTGTCACTAAATTAATTGAAGTAAAAATAATTCTACAGTGATTATCACTGTTATGTAAGCTAAATTTTTACTATAATCACTACACATAGATCACTAATTTCTCGAATGAATTTCCTTTCGATCTAGAAAAAGCATTTTAATTATAACTTAAAGTCAGCAATCAATCTTTATTTCAATACTAATATGAAATTATGACGTATAATGATTATTATGATCGATCGAAAAGAATTTTGCATGACAATAATCAGTAGGCGATTTTAGCGTTTTTAGCTTCATATAAAATATAAAATAGAATTAGAAGTAGGATTAAAATTCTTAATTATACTAAGAGCTTACTATAAGTATTTAAATAATTATAATCACTTAATTTTGGTAATAACAAATTGATATCATGCGAATTAATCAGATCATTGACTACACCTTCCTTCTAAATTCATGCACCTATACACATTGGAGTATCAACCTTATTCACCAAGGTTTGTGTTCATTTTTTTTTCGTAGACTTGAGCAATAGAAAAAAATCCAAAATAATGATTCGAGTAGAAAAGATTCTTGCTAACAAGAATATAAAAATATCAGATTTGCAAATATAGTGTCTCCAGAAAATCTCAAACCTTATTTTTCTGTACTTGTTAGTGCAAAGTGTAATTTTGTTTGAACGTCGTAGAATGATAGTGCAAAATAATTCTCTAAAAAAAAAAATAAGTTGTCTCCAAGTTCTCTACGATGTTCTATTGACTAAGATATAACTATTTTTTTGAAGATGCTAGAATAGATTTTCTACAGGACATAATGAGAAAATGACTTTAGAGACACTAGTAATATTACTGTTATATATCAGTCAAAAAAAAATGTCATAGAGAACTCGGTGACATCGTATTTAATCATTCTACATAGTCTAAACAGAATTGCATTTAAGCGTTATAAGTTGTAACAACTTAAATTTTTTTAATTTTCTCGAAATTGTGCATTATGGAATCTGATAATAACCTGTAATTTCTTTCGTTCTTATTGCAAAAAATTCTGTCTACTCGAATCCTTATTTAGACTCTTTCTAGCAGTTAAATCTATAGATTAAATTGAAGATAAACTTGGAAAAGTTCATTAGATACTTGTGCTATTTAGAATTGATGGTAAAAATGAAGAAACATCAGTGATATACGAATAAGAAAAAAGAATTCTCTTTCTTTTTCTCTCTCACCTTTCATCGAGATTATTACAAGTTTTGTTCATCATAATTTGACGAAAAAAAAATAATAAAATCATTTAAAAGAAGAAAAATGAGACGAAGATATATCGTAATTCTCCTTTCAGATTTATTTTAAGGCTATGAGAAATAATTGATTTTCTCATTTTCAAAAAAAAAACTAGATGCACCTTTATAACGACGTCATTTTCATTATTTATGAATAGAATATGAATAACTAAATAGAGAATACATAAGATCTACGCCATTATCAAGTATCTCAAAATAATGTTCATTTTGTTCTTCAATTAAAAGCAAAGTATGATGCACTACAATTCTTGTTGTGCTCTATGATATCACTTTAGAAGTAAACGAAATAGACCACTAACGAATGGCGTATATGTCCTTCTATAACAATTAAAATATACCCCTAGACGTAGATTATTAGTCTACGAAAAAGAAATCTCCCACACAAAGTTTTTTTTTTTTAAATTGAAACAAAAAGTCAAGTTGAAGATGTTAATATTCTTTGTTCTCTACAATGAAAAGCATTTCTATTTCTTCTTATCTAATGTCTAAAACTATTTATAAATCTTTTAGAACTAACATATTCTAGAATGATCTTATAAGTGTTGATAAAAAAAAAGCTTCTTATTTAATTTATTCAAATTTTCTAAGATATAAAAACAGTATTTGTCGAAAAAAAAATTAATTAGAAATATTAGTGTTTATTATTGAAGCTTTATAATTGGTCTGCTTTTAAATACTTAAACATGATTTTAAACTCTTTATATTTTTTTTTTTGGTATATATATATATATAGACACTCTCTAATTACTTTTAAATGCTGCCATAATACCCTGAAAATAGTATATATTTTCCTATATGTATTATGGTTTTATTGCATGTAGGAAAATCTTCATTTTTTAAAACGACTTAAAGTGTAGGTGAAATTAGTCATGTCTCATCTGGCTCGAATTTCTATTAAATTGAAATTATTTTTTTGTAAATCATTAATTTGGAATTAAAACTACTTGAAATAAATAAGAAGATATTGTTTATAAAATTAGAAAAGTAAATGTAACCAAGGCACTTTAAAAATTGCTCCCTGACCTTTCTTATCATCTATTTTTATACAATACTTTTTCGCCATTTACTGTATTTATTTTATGAAAGAAAATACTGTATAATATTAAATAAAAATATAGTAATGAACCACAAGATAAACATTATAATTAGTTTCAAAATGATATGTACGTGATGTTAATGTGGCAGTAATAATATTTATTGTACTTTATATGACCTATTCAATGCTTTCTTTTTCTGTGTCAAACTTAAGTGTATAAAACATTCTTTCTTGTCGTATGATCTACAAAGATAATTGCATAATAGTTGTCATTTTCAAGCTATTTTATGTCAGTTACTTGAAATTTTATCTATGCTCTTAGCTAGTTATGAGATAAATATTAATGATCGTCTATAAAAATTCTGTTTCAGGGTTATACATTAAAAACAATCCCATTTTATATATAGTTAGTTTTGGTGGAAGAAATTCTTCAATGAATTTTCTAATCTTACAACAAGACTTCTATCAGACAACATAAAATTATGAAATGTTTTATTTTTTGAATAGATTACCAAATAATTAGATATGATTTATCCACTTCAACACACAAAAAAAAAAAAGAAGAATTTCCTGAAAAAGTTTTGATTTTTTTCTCGTCATTTGCTTTGACTTTAAAATGAATACTGTGTCATGTAGACATATATTTTGTTTAAAAAACAGTTATAATTGAATACTTTATATCGGCATTTGTCAAATAATTTTATCATTATGTAATCAAAGAATTATCGAAAACTTGAAAGAGAAAATTTCGAATAAAATCTCTTCTCATTTTTTTATTATCACTATTTATTTATATAAAACATTCTTCTCAATGGTGAGTTCTTCTTATGTCAGCACTTGAGTTTTTCATTCACAAGTGATGATTGCTTCCACTTTTTTCCAATTATATACTATTTATACTATCTAATATATTATCACACATTTACGTCTCATCTATATATTTATATACGCATAATCTTCTTTTGTTTCTTTACAGTCTTCTTCTATATAATTATAAACGAGACATGACGCAAATCGGATTCGAATGAAACTACTTGCAATTTCATTTTTTCTGACGAGTAAAGATGAATAGACACATTTTCTCGATTAATGAATGCATTCATTAGAAAAAAACCATAAATCCATTAAGAGAATGAATTTAAGAAGTTGATGTGTTTTGTATTTGTTCAATTGTAATAAAAATAAATTGTGTCTTGTTGATATTCTAGAAAACTTTTTCTCTTAGTCGAGAAAAAAAAAACATGAACTATTTTTTTAAATTTTTGCTTGTTAATTTTAAAACCATTCTATTTTGTTCGTATCATTACTTTATTGTCAGACGTTTCTTAAATAAAATATCAAGTACATTTTAATATTATCAAATGTGACATTCATATTATAGGCTTCCAACTGCTATTTGAAATTTTTTTTATTAAGTACATTTTTTTTTCTTCAAACAATTGATGAGAGTCCAATGATTAAAAATCAGAGTAACATTTCAAAGTTTAATATAAAAATATATTCTTCAACAATACAATCGAAAACAAACAAATTATAATTGTGGATTTATATTATTAAAAAAAAAAACTTTCTTTTTTTAAAAATATTCTTTCATTATTATCATGATATTTATGCAAAAAATAATTTTAGACTTAACAGGTTAACTTTACCCAAAATTTCCTTCTATTACAAACAACACTTAGTCATAAATTTATACAATTAATATCAAAAGTTATTTTATTATTGTAATTAAATAGATTAAAAGTAGAATAAAACAAAGAACCCACGCACTTATAAGAATCCGATTATGTTGATATAATGCATAGACATTAAAATCTAAAATTACTTTTTTCTCTCATAATTTTAAAAAAAAACATTAAATAACTGTCAATTCTCTACTAATGAGCAGTTACTACTTATGACCATTTTTGCATGTTCAATGTCACACACTTCGATATAACATACTTCACTTCAGTAAATATCTTCCTATAGCAAATTCTTTTGAATAGTCCTGATAGTTTTCCCAAAAGAAAGGTTTTGTTATAAGATTAATAAACTCTAATATAAAGACGACAACGTTTTTGCTTATTAATAAACACTGACAGTTGACATTTCTCCTGAAGACAAATAATACGATTAATGAGATATACAAAAAAAGCTTGATGGTACAGGTCCTCTGAGGCTAAAATGTGGAATCCATATGGACGTTTGAGCCTTATAATACCAATACAAAATACATTAAATGAAAAATTTCTGGCAGATAAAAGCTGTTTTTTCAAGGATAGTCAATCTTCTGATAAAGGTTCTCTCTTATTTATTTCTGTACTTCAAACAGAAATTTGTTCTATTTTTTATTGATGTTTTATATTTTATTTGCCTTGTTGCTATTCATTTTCGAATTCTATTTTTCTTTATTTAACATTGTTATTATTCATAACCATTAATTTAACTTCTAAATGAACCTATTGCGCATATCCATTATATTTGGAGCCCATTCTCACCACACTATTATATATCTCGATAAACTCATAAACACTGATATGGAACATTTCCTAAAGTCATAAGTTAATTACTTAGTTCATGTTTTTCTTTATGTTGACCATATGGCGATAGTAGCTAATCAATGCAACACTACCCATAATATTTGACATCTTTAATATACGTAAATTATTATCTGTGCCAAATAAAAAAAGCTGTTAACGCAATTTCTGCGAGACTAACATGTGAAGCACAATGTAACTAGATATCTCGAATTGAATCCATAAAATATAGAATCTCTTGTCCATGTAATATGTGAATTGCATATTCACATATTACATGGACAAGAGTTTCTATATTTTATGGTTCCAATATCCGAGGCCTGAATGTAAATGCTCTTGTTAGTCACAGGGAGATTATTCTGTTCAGTCTATTTTGGAATACAATTCTTCAACATCGTTTTACTTGATCCTGCAAAAAATTCAATAAGGAATAGCATGGTTCCTATATTATAACGAGATGTTACTCATATGCGGTCTATGATCGTATATCAACAACCTGTGTCACGGTTAGTGACACAAAGGAAACAGGAAAGGGAGTGCTGTAAAGGCATTCATTACGGTCTGTGATGAAGAAGAGACATTGCTAAGAATGTCTGTCATGTTTGTGATAAGTCATCTCTAACAGATTAGTCACGTCTGGGATGAGTTGATGCTAAGACGTCTGAATTAGTGACAGGTCCAATTTCGATTCTTATACTTCAATATTCGTTTTTGATTGTGTTTCACAAAAGTGCACTATTTAGAATATTCACAAATATATTGCAGTCATTCAAATTTCGAGGAAGACTTTGCAGTATCTAAGTCTTGTTGTTTACGCTGTTCAGCGTCTTTTTACGCCATTAAGAAACTCTAAAAAAAAAACGAGCCTGCCGCATATTGTTCTCAATAGCTAAGGTCTATAATGGGAACTGAAGGAGCCGGAAAACGTCGACTTAAAACATACACTCATTATTTTCTTCGAAAATATATGTGAATTCGACAAAACACAAAGAAATCATGTGTGATTAGGAAAGTTTACAGTCTTATGAGACAAAGTATTGTCGAATTTTGAATATTGCTTATGCCGCTTCGTTTTGTTTTCAAAATGTCTCGTGGGTTATAACTAGCGTAAATTTTTGGTACTGCACAGAGGTCTAGTAAAGGTTTATAAGTTTACCAATATAATGAATAAACAGTAAAATCTGATTCAATCGTTTTTTTTTTTGCTAAAAATTCAGATTATCATTTATTAAAAGTTCAATTTTCACATTTTTTAGTTATAATAAATTTAGAATTCTATCTTTATTTTCTTTCTTGTTTTGTATTAAAGTTATTGGATACACAATTGTAATTATGTATGCTCATATGATAATTAATCATCCGCTTGGTTTGATATGAATGAAAAGTTTAATTCAAAACACTATTTTAAAATTAATATTCAAAAGTAAAAAAAAAAGATTAATAAATAAATAATTGTCACACATGAATCACACAGTACAAAGAATTTAAGCTTTATACATATTTATCAAAAGTTCTATGTTGTATTCAAGACATATTCGATCAATAAGTAATATTAAAATGTATAATCTGACTTGAAAGTTTAATAATTATTGTTTGCTTGTATACGTATATATGCATGCTGATAGATTTCAGTTTTAAGAATCTAATTATTAATAAAAAATCAAAAACAGAAACAGATAAAATAGGCATAAAGCAGAAAATGAAAATTTTACCAGTTCGAACACGAGGATATGGATGAATAAGTAAGTCTCTAGCTGAAGGACGTTCCTCAAGATCAGACTTTAAACATAATTCAATAAACTGATATGCTTGTTTTTGATTTTTTAATTCTTCTGGAATCGGTGGACCTTTTCTTGCTAATAATTGATTTTGTATATAGATTTGATCTTCAGGTGGACGTGTTACATTTGTCCATGGTAACTAAAATAATAAATACGAATAAAAAATTTTCATTCTGAAAATTTACTTTGCCAGTTAACATTTCTATTATAGTACAACCAAGTGCCCATATATCTGATTTACAAACATATTCTGGTTCCGGCGGTTTAAAATCTAGTAGAAGAAAAAACATCATATATTATAATTTATAAAAAAAAAGATTTTTTTTTTCATTGCTAAACGTGACAGGTTATTAACTATTACTGTTGTTAAGATATCTATTGTACACTAATCCTACTATAAATCCGATGCTGGCGTTAGTCAGTATGACAACTAGATATGATCGTTTGCAGCAAATATTTATATTAACTTCAAGTACTTATATCAATATTTTAAATGATATATGATTGACTAGCATAATCTTTCTTAACAATAATAACCAATGAGATTTTTTTCATAATTATTTCAATGTTAAAATAACATCCAATTCAACAACCTTTAAAATTTATTTTGATTAGAATTACACCAATTGTTTTAATATTCATAATTCTCTTACCTGTCTACAAAATGAAATTTTTCGTTTATAACTTACATATAGTTCCTTTTTGTGTACTACGTGAATTACTAGCATCCGATGATGGTGATTCAAGTTCAAGTCGATGTGATAAATTAAAATCCTAAAATAAATTTTTAAAAAAAATAATTTAATTAATATCAATTAACATACACCTAATTTAACAATATATTTTCCGTTTTCATTAGCAATAAAAATATTATCACCTTTAACATCACAATGTACAATAGAATTTTCATGTAAAGCCATTAAAGCTTTTAAAAGTTGATTAACAAATCCACGAACATGTTCATTAATATCAAGTGAAGAATTTAAACGAATATTTCCTGTATTCAAATCTTCATCTTGATCACTTGAATCATCGCGTAGAATATCATTTTCTCTTTTTGTATGTGCACGTTTTTGAAATGAACGAATATCATTAAGAAACTCATTTACCGTTGATAAACAATATTCCATACAAATATAAATTGTTCTCTATAAAAAAAAAATAAATAAATCTATGATTGATAAAGAAATCCCTTTTTTGTTCTTATACTTTATATTTTTCAATACCAAAATATCGTACAATATTCGGATGATTAATTGCCATAATCATATCGATTTCTTCTGCAATACGTCGAAGTTTTACCGGATATGTACTTGGTAATGAACGTGATGTTATGGATGATAATTGTATTTCTTTCATGCATACAATTGAACCATTTGAACAATTTATTGCACGAAATGCAACGCCAGCACCACCTTGTCCAATACGTGTACCACGACGCCAAGGAAAATCAATATTACGCATTTTTAATGATATAACAGGATCCGGAATAATACCACTTGTTGTTGTTGTATTACTATATATTTGACCAATTTGTTTACGTTCACGAAATTTTTTTTCTAAATTATTTTCAAGATTTTTTATTTTTTGTACAATACGTTCACGAGGTGTAGAGAAACTTTCATTTCTACGATGTCCACCTAAAAGTAATGTGTTCATTAGAAAATAAATTTAAGAAAAAAGTATGTATATATTTTTTTTCTTTACTTGTTTGTGAAGAACGACGTGATCGACTTAAACTGGTTGATATTGATGAAATACTATTTGAACGACCTAAAAAAATTATAAACAAAAGCAAAATGTATGAAAATATAAATAAAGCAAATTAAACTATATTTAAAGCAATCAAATATAATCAAATAAAGAACACCTGCTTAGTTATTTTTCTTACCAACATTTACTTTTTGAAAGTAATGATCATTTATGAAACTAATGTCTTTTGGAGAAAGAGATAGGGATTTCTCGAAATAATAAAATCTACAATAGAAAATTTACCTTTTGTTATAAGTGAATCATAATTAACTTTTGCATTTCCATAGAAAACATCAAGAGCAGCTGGCATTTCTTTAGTTAATTTTCTATAATCATTATCTGAAAGTAATTCTAAATGATTTGATTTTGCTAGAAAACGTAGAAAACACATCCCAGGTGAAAGCCATTTTGGTCTAAATGTGTAATTAAGATATTTTTTTGTTTTTCTAAATTAATAAAATTTCTTTGTTTTTTTTCGTACCGGAAGACTTTATATTTAACTGTTCGTGTTTGTTGTAATGATGTATATTTAAATTTTTTTGTAACACATTTACACCATTCACAAAAAAATTCATTCATTGTACTAACAAATTTTTCAAATATTTCATCATTTTCTGTTGATATTGTTAATATAAGTTCACACAAAATACGAAAAAGATCAAAACCAGAATTATAAATATATAAAATAAGATCAACTAATTTCGATTCAATTGTACGTTCATCAAATTTAACTATTTCTGTAAGATATATTTTTGTTGAATCTTGATCCCAAATTGTATTTAATGTACGAACAAGATCAGTTAATGTAGTACTTAATTTTTCAATATTTTCCTAAAAAAAAAAACATGAAAAATTTTAATTTGTAATTGCTAATGAAAAAATATATACAGGTAATTGATCAAATGTTAAACGAACATCTTCATCACGAGGTAATTTTCTAATTAGTTGAATATTAGTTAATCCAACATGTGAATGAAATAAATCAACAGCATTTTGCCAATGATCAAATCGATTAACAACCAAATGTAATGAACAAAGTTCAATAGAATTTAATGCTAATTGTGTACTTTCACTTGGTTGAATAAATAAAATATCTCCAGTCCATCGAAGATTTTGTCGAGAAAAATTTTTCTTCGGTAAAAAAATCATATAGGATGGAGACATGTCTTTAGTAGGTTTACAAGTGTCATCTGATGAAATTTGTTGAGAACATATAATACTTAATAATTTCTCAACTTTATCTTTATCTGTTGATAACCAAGGCGGAACAAATACATAAAAATTATCAAAATCATCTACATCCTAATTTTAAACGAGACTGTATGTGTGTGTGTTTTATGTAAAAACATAGGAATACATACACTTCTATTCAAATAAATTTTAATTTGAGTATAACATTTTTGTAGAAGTTGTTGCCACACATCATGATGATTAACACATTTAAATTCAGCTGCAATTGCAAAATCCTTAACGAAAAAAAAAAATAATAATAAATTCGAATTTTCGTATCTATCAGATAAACATTGATGAATAAACTTACAACAATAAGCGTTTTAGCTAAATGACAAACACGTATTGCACGTTGTTTAATTGTATCAAAATCTCGACGAAATTCACGTGTACTGGAAATAATATCATTTCTATATATGACAAAAAATATTAAAATAATCAATAAAATGAAAGAATTGTTCGATTTTTATTTACTTCTTTTGATCAGAAAATGATGCTGTTGAATCACATAATGATGTTTCACTACGATATAAATCAGGTGGAACGCTAATTGACGTTCCAAACGAATGTGGTCTGATTGTTTCAGATAACACGCTATGCAAAATTATAAACATGATATTTTATAGATAAAAAACAAATGGATAAGTATAGTTTACAAGTGATTTACAAGGTACTAAAGATTAAAGTTTTTTTTTTATAGTATCTGATCGAAAATAAAGGATATCAGATATGTACATCGTGTATAAAAAGCGAAGAGAAAGCGACGACAAGTTCCACAATGGTGGTGGATGCAATTACTATCAAAAAATCTTGTTGAGAAGCGACACTGCCACACTAAACGATAAGCCAGTTTTTCGATGCTTTTTGACTACTGAAAGGAATTTACGTAGACTTTTAGAACGATTTTCTCTATCTAACAATACATGCATTATCAATTTCTACTGCATACATTATTAGATATAAGAAATCTTTCTTTAAAACTCTACATATATTTCATTCTATAATCAACACTTTATAGTCACCTTTAGATTGATGGTGGATTTAAATATTACACTCGTCACAATGAAATTCACTACGTTTCAAGTTAGATCAATTTGCTATTAGGATAATTTTTAGCCAAAATCGGTTACCATTTAATCAAAAAAATAGTAACAAATAAGTACCGATATGAAGTAATGAAATGAATTGTATTTCATAACCAAAAAACAACTATGTCCATGATTAAATCCCTATTCTTAACTTTCAGGGTTTGGTGTACATTCTTTTTTTTTTAAAGTTCTAGCAATAGAGTTCAACAGCTGGTATGATAAATGTATGGGCGATGCACATCTGTGAAGAACGCATCTAACTTGTTTTCCGAAAAAATTATCGCAAAACTTTGATAACATTTTCCGTTACTCGTTTACGATTACAGATCTTTATACCCAGTCAGTCAAAAATAGAGAAAAAACTCGTTTTTATGCGTTGAAATGTGCGCTTTTAACGTTTTTCGAAGCATTTTCAAGCGGAAAAAAACGTTAAAATATATGTGTATAAACGCGTTTTTTTGCCGATCTTGACTGTCTGGGTACTAGTCTTATTGATTAATGACTATTAGGTATCAATAGAATAATTTACTAACTTTAACAAAAAAAAATTTCTTCTAATTCAAAAACTAAAAGAAAATATTTTGTTTTTCTTCTTACTCAGCTGAATAAGTTCTATCACCAATATCCGATGTATCCCTCATATCAATAGCAAATGTTTGATAATATTTTTCAGTTTTACCATTTAAATCTTCTTTTAATTGTGTTAATATTCGTTGTGTTAATGTACTAAAAGTATTTAGAAAAAAAACAAAAGCAACATACATAAAAAAGAAAATTTTGTTTTTTCAATATCTTACCTAAATTCAATACATAAATCACGAATTTCAGTACGATTTCCTAATGTTACTGTTAAATCTCGAGAAAAATAATATTCTTTAATTAATTCTGATGTTTCTTCATCAACATAATAATATAAATCAGTATTTGTATCATTACTCATAATCATATCATCCTCATCAAGTGTACCAAATGATCGATTAATACAAACTGTACTTAAAAATTGTTTATAATGCTAAAATATCCACACCCAAAAAATAACTTATCATAAATGAAAATATGCAAAAAAAAAACAGACCGTATAAAGTTTAACTGTATTTTCATCGAATTCTGTAAGTTCATAAACTATTTGACGATGAGAAATAAATTGTTCCATCATACGTATACTATATAAACGAGTTGCTAATGCGTCTCTATTAAATCAAAAACAAAACAATCAAAAATTGAAAATTTTTATCTTTGAACAAACCTTAAAACAAGTTTTGCTTCGCGAACAAGCTAAAAACAAAAGATAAATACGAAAAAAAAAAAGAAAAATTCCTGCTTTTTTTTTACTTGTTGTCGACAAAGAGAATCTATTTCAATCGTATCATTATTCATATAAGGTTTGTTATAGAGTATTAAACATTCATTCATAACATCAAGTAAAACATTAATAATAAAAAAATATAATGGTAATAATGATGGTAAACCTAATTGTTGATGTAATTCAAGCCAATTATTTTTTAATGTATCATCTGTATATGAACATATTGTTTTAAGTGTTGGACATGATTTTAATACATGAAAAAGCCATTTTTCAATAGTCATTTCTCCAATATTTAAATTTATTGTTGAATCTTCATCTACTGGATTGTCAGTATCAACAAGTTTGTCTTCAGTTTCATCATTATTAGTATTTGTTGTACTTTCTAATTTATTTATATTTGATGATTGACAATCACATAATGCTAAACCGGCAAGAACTTGTTCAATTTTTAATTTACGTCGATCGTTTGCTTGTAATAAAGCAAGACGAGTTTTAACAAGAACTGGTGCAACACGTTCGATTAATGTTCTTGCTAAACCATCATATTTAACTTGATAAGAACGTTTATCCATATAATAAACAAAATTTCTAAGTAAATAAAAAATATTAATATAAAAAAAGTGAAGCAAAAAAAAGCGTTTTACCGGTAACAATCAATACGATTTAATTTTTTGATTTTAGGACTCGTTTCAGTTGAATTGGATTCATCAGAAACTAAATTATTTCAACGAAACAAGGCAAAAATAAAATAAAATAATTGAATAGAATACGAATTCAATTACTTTTAAGACGAGAGAAATAATCAAGTGGTTCTTCAGGCCAACGAGTCTAAAAACAACAACTTGATATTAAAACTATTTGAATTTCTGAAGTTAGTTTGATAATGAAGAAACTTTTGTTTTTTTTATCTTGAGTATTTATGTTGTCAATGGTTGACATATTTAAGGCATATGTTAGAGATCAATATCACAAGAAAACCTATCCAGATTTCAAGTCACTTTTCAACTCAGACACTGTTCAATTAATGAAAACTAGAGAGTAATACAAAAGTCAACAATGCTTGGTTTTGAGGGTCTTCTTTTTTTGAGATATCTAAGCTTTGTTGAATTTTTCAACAAAAACTTGTGATTTACCTCAGATCACGTGGAAAATCGACTTTTGACTTTGAACTTTGTATGAATAATGTTCTCAGTAAGATTAGTTCATTGTGCTAATTTTAACTTTTCTACAATTACCTTTCTGGAGATGTTAATATATAAGAAAAATCTACTTGTACACATGAGAGAATTTCGAATATTGAACATCTCAGGATAAGAGATATTAGAAAAGTTATAACTTGTTTAATGAACTAATCTCATTGAAAACTCTGTTAATGTAAAGTTTGAAGTCGAAATTCAAGAGTCGATTTTTCATATGAACTGAGGAGTATGACAGTTTTTTGTTGAAAAACCCAGTAAAATTTCGATATGTCGAAAATGAAGACCCAGAAAATCAAACCCTTCTTGACTTTTCTATTAATCACTAGTTGATATCTAGAGAAATTTCCATATCAAATTCGCCTAGGTCAATCTCGAATTAAAGATTACGTATCTTATATTCTGTGCTTAAGTGTTAGTTCAGTTCAAAAATGTATCGAATAAAAACTAAAATAGAAAAATGTGTATGACACTGAATCTCTATTTATGCTAAAACAAACTTCAAAAATGTAAAAAAGTAAATTTATATCTCAATGGTCGATGCGGAATGAGGAGAACAAGTACATTCATGCCTAAATCTCACACTCTTCGTTATCAAGGGTATCCTGAAGTTGTCAGGATGTGGGAGGGCTGATTGCTCTGGAGAGCGATTGAAAGACCTTTGCTATAGTTGACCGTAATTTTGAAGGGTTGCACATTTGCCTGGAAATTAGTGAGCCAAAAAAAAAACAGAAAAACAATGAGACTCCGTTGGAGAAAAACCAATTCTTTTCAAAAATGGGGCTTAATCCTCTCCCTCGCTCGAGACACCTCTACATTTTTCGTCATGAACTTTCGAAAATCTGAATTATTTTTCAGTTCTAATGCATATATAATATATGTTACTTAACAAGAACAAAACATTATATAAAACCATTGTTTTTAAACATACTTTTGGTAGAATATCACTATCATCACTATTTTCTGATTCATCTTCTATTTCACTTTCTTCACTTATGTCTATTGCATTATCATCAGCATGATCATCATCATCATCGTTATCATCATCATCATCATCATATTCAGCTTCATCACTTGATGAATAATAATCAATATCAGNAATTTACGTAACAAAAAAAGCGATCTTCATTTTTCCCAAAGCAACCTCGTGATGAAAAAAGAGTAGAACCGCCCCCCCCCCCCCCCCGTTTCTCCGACCTAGTAGGTCTCAACGAACTGAAACTTTATTTTTACATATACTATACACTATTTGGGATGAGTATGTTTTTTTTCAAAAAATATTGTTCTACTGATTGTATCCGTTGTCCGAAACGGTGTCTGGTGCATGTAAAAAACAAATTTCAGTTCGATCGAAGGGAACACCTCGGAGAAACGAAAGAGCCATTTATCGCCATTGTGATTGTAGTATCACATAGAAGGCAACATTCAGAAACTTTGAGTCTACGACAATTTTTGCTCTACTCGTCAAGATATACCTGCTCTGAATAGTTCAAAATTTTCTGATGAACTATTCTCCAGAAATTTTGAAAAAGAGTATCTTTAATAAACTGATCGATCGGCTTATAACTTAAATGCATTGTCATCTAAGACAAAATATAACTGGAGATGATCATCTCCAACAAGTTCTTTCGAAATATTATGCATCTATTTTGATTATCAATTTTTCTTCACATTCAAAAAATAACAAATCGATTTCCTTATGTCTAATATTTCAAGTTTGTTTTTGTTGTAGAACATACCCTTAGTTATATCATCTTCACTTTCATCAAATCTATTTGAAAGATGTATTCCATCATTAGTTGATATTAATAAATCTTTAACAGCATCACTTAAAAATCCATAATGATGTGCTCGGTTCATTTGAAAATTACTTATTAAATCAATAAAAGCTTTTATTTCAACTTTACAACATCGTTCAGTCATTGGAGTTTTCTGTGAGAATTCATTTAAACGTGTATAAAGAAAATCACGAATAGATGAATTTTGTGATGAATATTGTAAACCAGAATTGTATGAATAATTTGAAAGTAAATCATTAATCATTGTTAGATGTTCATTAAGAATAGCTTCTATATTACGATTTAATGATGTTTTTTTTTCTTGTTCTTGTTGTAATGATTGTACAGTAGTTTGTTGTTCTGATTTACTAAATGAATTTTTACGATCACGTGTAACAGCTGCGAATCCACTAAGATTACGACGCTGAGGTATACGTTTTCGATGAAGATGAGCTGAAGATGAAAGTGATATTGCTGCATTTGATGAAATTTTGGTAGAAGATTTTGTATTTGGGAATGCAGTAGTTGTACTTGAATCTGATTGAGTGCTACGCGCAGATGAATGACTATGAGTCATTGAATCAGCATTTGATGGTTTTGAAGATAATGTTGAAGTAAATACATTAGAATGTTCATTTGAACTTGTATAAGCATGTGTAGAAGTCTTTGATGTATTATCTGATTCATTACGTGATACAGGATTAATTACATTATTCGAATGAAATGATGAACAAAACTATAGGAAATATCATATTATTCAAAATTTGATTTTTAGTGATTTGGGAATACCTGTAAAAACTGCAGACATTCACGAACATTGCGCAAGTTATATAGTATGATAGAACTTGCGACAAATGTTACACAGACACCTGTCGGCATTTAGAGATATATATTCTGTTCTGCATTTATGTGTTTGCGCATGGATATGATGGTCATGGATACTTAGAATGTTTAATCTGAAAAGTTGTTACCGCAAGTCTTGTAGGATTAAATTATGAAACACTCTATAGTTGGCGTTGCCAATCACAGGGAGTTTGTTTCCATCTATCTATTTTTGGATACATTTTTGTGCTATCTTAGTAATTAATTCTCCAGAAATGAAGTAAGAAAGTGATTCATATATTATAACAAGACTTTCTTGAAATACGGTCTATGATCCTATCTGAACAGTGTCTGCCATGATCTGTGATGAAGAAGAGATCTTGTTATGGATGTCTACCGGGGATGAAAAGTTTGACTCCTATACTTCAATAATTCTTCAGATTGTCTTTCACAAAAACATACTAGTTGATAGGAGGACGAAGTTATTGTTACCTTATCAGTTATCGAGTAACGTGGTAACGAAAAAGTTGTTGATTTGATTCTTTCATCAAGAAATAACTGTTGAAGAAAACTTACCATCTTTTATGAAATTTGACCAAATATTCTTGCAGTCGAGGAACCTAAGTCTGTATTCGATTTCTCGAAATCGTGTACTTGATTTCTCTGTCACGTTTTCTCGATTCAGAAACCTTTGATCAAACTTTATAAATGATCTTGATTGTCCTGCAATAGTCATTTCTTGATGAAGGAAGCAAATTCATAAATTTTCTGTTACTTTGTTACTCGGGAACTGGTAACGGCCCTGTTACCGATAACATCCCACCCCTAGTGGTTAACGACTTTTAAATTAGTCTGTGTATTACATCTCTCACAGATAGTCCCATCCTAATAACCAATTCGTATGCCGACTTTGTGTCTATCGCTGCGCTGGAAAAATAACAAGAACTATACAATAGTGCTCATAACTATGTGACAAGGTATTTCTGGGTTTGAAGAATGTTGATCTACCATCTGGTAAAATCTTGACAGTACTTTGAGTAGATTGTGAAATTCTTTTATGTAGGAGAAAAATCTTGAGATATGCTCTATGTCTCTGTATTCGATCGTTTTTCTTTGTATTCTTTTCTGATGAATCTAATTTGACAAGAAAATATAGCAAAGACTTCAATCTCCTCTCATGTCATTCATAATTTCATGTTCCTATAATTGATGATGTTCAAACAGAATTGTTTTTTACTAAAATATTCTTGTACTTCGAGCTCATCTGAAACAGTTTTTCGAAAATTTTTCTCTAAATAATTTTTTTTTGTGATACATTAAAAAGTAGAGCATGTATTAGAGCACTTTACGATCTGTCGAAAGTACTGTCAAGACTTGACTTGAGAACTGATCATCATTCTTTAAACCTCAAAAAATATCTTACCACATAATTGTGAACATTATCATAGGTATTCGTATTCAGGCACAAATGTATGTTTGATCGAAACAGACAAGTGTTGCACAGAATTGATGTCTATGACGGGTGTTTGTGTCCATTTGAAAGAACTATTTCGAATGAAAAATTCCAAATGGAGCAAGCGAGAATTTGTATCCATAGTTTTTACAGGTACCTTTGAATTTATGTTTAAATTACTTCAACAAATGGATTTGCTGTTGATTTTTGATGTTGCTGTTTTGGAGGACTTACTGATTTTCGACTTCCGTAAGTAGATTGAGAATTAATTGTCGGTCTTTTTTCAAGTAACCACATTAACTTTTTTAAAATATCTCGTCTTTTATCAAAAGGTCCTTTTCTTGTACCCTTATCGATTTGTAAAGTTTCCATTTTCTTAGTAAAATAATGCATTTCATTATCACTTGATGATGATAAACTTTGTGTACTTGGTGTTCCAGATGATGATGTTGAATGATTTCGTCGTTTTTGATGATTGTCAGTCTTTTCATCGGTTATATCATCCTCATTTGTACTTATTGTTCGAGGTTGATCAGATGAATGTGTATCTAAATTTGTTGATTCAATACCACTTTGATCAGATGAACGGTTGGAATTCGATGATAGAATAGCTGCAAAATGCATATCTGGAGAATAATGTGATCGACTCTGCGTTGAAGATGAATTTGTATTAGATGGTGAATGAAAAACATTATCAGATATATATGATGATTGTCTTGTTGTTTGATCAAAAGAATGATAAATACAATTAGGCACTGAAAGAGCCGTTCTAAATTGTTTACGAAGAATTTGAGAATGTAATGATGGTGGTTGTGAACTTGCTAGATGAGATTGTGAACGTAGAAATACATGTGGTTTAGGTTTATTTGTATTCCATGAAACACGTCGTCGTCGATGTGGTACTACTGATTTATGATTAGTTTCAAATGAAACCGATGCATGAAAAGAAACATTAGATGATTTTTTTTGACTTGTTTGAGTAGTTGGTGAACGACCCTGAAACTTAATATTTTCTTCTTCTTGTGGTGATAATTGTTTTTTTTTTTTTTCAACTTCTGAATCTTCTGAATCAGGTATAGGAAGAAATTTTGTAGACATATCTTCTGCTTCTTCTTCTTCATTTTCTGACATAATCACTTCATTATCATTACGATGATGTTGATCATTTACTGGCACTGATAAACTACGTTGCATATCATTTGAAAAAGAGACTTGATGTGCAGTCAGTGTTTCAGAATTAACTGAGTGTTGTTGATCACAGATTGTTGATACAGTTGAATTTCCACGACTACGTGCTACTATTGGTTCCATTAATGTTGACGGAAGTGATGGTGATCGTTCAAGTAATGCTGATATTGTTTCCGTTGTTGTTGATTGAACCCAAGCAGCAATCGATCGATTATCGACAGGCAGATTTGAAGATTTTTCTTGATCAGTTTGATTAAACGATGATACAAAAAGATTCGTTGATGAAATATCAGCATTTAATGATAATGAGAGAACATCTTCTGGTGATTGACCTTTTGATACATTACAATTTATTGATTCAAGAGTATTTTCCTGATTATCATCAACAGGTTGAAATGGAGGTACTGAAGTCATTATTGTCACAGGATTTATTTGTGCATCATTCATATTTGATTTATTATCGTCTTCTTCGGATTTTGCCGGAGCTTTTTCTTTATCAATATTTGAATCCATCTAGAGATAGAGGATTTTATTTTTTATTTTTAAAACAGAACAATATATATAAATATATAATTAAAATTCATTTATTTACTATAAATATACGGAAAAATGAACTGTCTACGGTTCACATTGATCAATAAAGTGTTAATAAAAATACGCATAATGAATCTGATGATAATTTGTTAACCGAGAAACAAAAACAATCAATGCCAAGACCATAACTACCATGTGGAAATGTTTTATATTTACTCTAAAAAGAAATTTTTTTTTCTTCTTTTTTCTTAAAATATTCCAACCATTTTTCATAACTTAACATACTCATATTGTAAACTACGATTTTTCCGACGCTAGCAGGGGCCTTAACTTATCTTTAGTTTATAAGGAAAATATAAATACTATGTTTATATAATGAATTCTTTATTTTCAAAAATAAACAAGAGATGAAGAAAGACTTCTCTCTGTGATACGTAAGTAAACTACTACGTATTTGTCGTTTTTAAAAATCAACGAATCTGATTTTTTTTTCGAATAGCTTTTGATAAACCAACTTAGAGACCTGAGTTTTTCCCATTCAAAAGAACAGACTCGGCGCCATCTATGTATGTCAAAATTGGCATGGTCAATACCTAACCAATCAGATGAGTTTTCTGCAGATATTTTGAAAAAAAAGATATTCTGAAGCTAGTTTCCATTGGACTTTGACTTTGAATATGACTAGTGGCTAGGAAAAATTCTTCTCTTTCTATCTACACGAACTGCAACTTCATAGAATGTTCCGTTCAAGATTTACAAGTCTTTCTTCGAGACCCCTGATTTCAGCAAATTGATCATAAAAGATTTCAAAAGAGCCCAGCACAGGAATAATTCATCATGCTAGGTCCAATGGTTATGTTTGTTTTCAGTTTCAAAGCAGCCTGAGACTAATGCTTCAGTATTTTCGAAATTTCAACAAGTTCTCTAAGCGGCATAAAAGTTTTGAAGAAGTGATCTCATGCCTATTTGAAACTGAACACTAATATCAGCATTTCACCCACCATGATGAATTACTTCTGTCTTCGGCTCTTTTGGATAGAGATCTACAAAGTGATCTTGGTCCCGGTCCTGACAGGATCGGGAATAAAGTTTTGATTTTTATCGGGATTGGGACTGGGACTTATACCTATTCAAGCTGGTTCCGATATATTTTTTATTATCAGGAACTAGATTACACATTTTCATGCTTATTATTTTGTTCTGACTAAGTATCTGCAACTCGGCCATTTTATTTTGCCATTCCGATAGAAGTCTTTTTCTGATCCCCATTCTAATTTTAAGGATCGAGATTATCCTGTGACTTGTATGGGCTTTTAAATAAGCAAAATGGTACAATATACATAAATTTGTTTCAATGGCATTTTGACCATTCTTTTGATTATATTTTTTTCCTAGTTGTTTTCCTATTTCCAGTGTGAACTCTTTAGTTGTTATTATACTTCTCTATATTTCAAAAAACAAATTTATTAATGTTTAGGAATACAAGCCGAAATCGAAGAGTTTAGGCTTATTATTGCAAAAATGGCGTGTGTTTAGAAAAAAAATGAGGCCAGAAGTAAGCAAAATTTTAACTGGTATCAGAACCGAGATCGAGACCATGCCGGGATCGAAAAAAAAGTGATTTTGCAGATCCCTACTTTTCAGAGGTGCGCGAATACAAGTACAATTTGTACTCTGGCCACCATATATATGTACTGGGGAAAAGTTTAGAATCGGTGGGGATGTACTCTCAGGTACTGGGTCGAAAAATCTAGAATTATTTGGTATGTACTCTCATTTACTATCGGGTATGGGTGTTGACCTCCGTTTCCGTCAGAGAGAATATCCGTATTCTACGCTCACACCCACGCCCGATAGTACATGAGAGTACATACCAAATAATTCTAATTTTTTCGATCCAGTACACAATAGTGCATCTCCACCAATTCTAAACTTTTCCCCAGTACATACGACGATTAGAATACATCCCCACTGATTCTAAATTTATGGGGGTGATGTTGATTTCAGAGTACATTTTGTACTCGTACTCCCGCAGCCTTCCTACTTTTGAAATCTTCCAAGGTCAACTTACTGATATCGAAGGGCTCATGAAAACGCTTGTAATCCTCGAACGAAACATGCTAAAAAGTTAGGATTTGCATAGATGAAAAGAGAAAATTTATTTCTATTCACTGATTATATTCCAAAGCTAAACCTTATGAAAAATAACTCCATAATATGTTTTTTCTTGAAAATCTCCGACGAAAGCTCACCTGATTGGTTAGCTGTTGTCCACTCAAATTTCGACATACGCAGATGGCGCTGAGTCTTTGCTTTTGAATGGGGAAAACCCCAGGTCGCTATTTTGTCTCTATCAAAAGTTATTCGAAAAACAGTCAGATCAATTGCTTTTATGACAAGAGTGACATTATAACAACAAAATATGTTATTCAATATTCTGTCTCACCTGTAGCATCACTTCGATATGTGATATTTTTTTTTTAAATCAAGTTGATGCATGAAAAAATTAATACAAAAAAAAACGACTTCTCGATATTTTATCTGTATATATGATATCATAAATTTTTCTCAGCTATCTGATAATAGCAAAAATAGACGCCATTCATCATATCGGAGTGTCTACACACGCAAACGGGGTATGAGTAATTCAATTCACCTACATTCATGCTAAAGCATCAGTACACAAATTCTCAGACAAAGACTTTTGTTTAACTGCGTAGGTTTTGCACAACAGAGTAGAATAATAGTATGAAAAGTTTTCTCAGATTACGTATAGCGCATGAAAGAAGGTCTACTCTATCTATCTTCATTAAATTCATAGAGTTTTTGGAATATAATTTTTACTCAGTAAAAAAAAAGTCTACAAATGATCAGTTTCGTATATATAAGTGTCACTAAAAAATTCAAATTTGATCAATAGAAATGCACCTTTTATCGGAAAAAGAAATCTAAAGGAACATTAAAAAAAATTCAAAGAAACAATGAAAAGAAAAAGACAATAAAAATTATATTATTGTATTAATAAAGCATATTCAACCTTTGCTGATATGCTTCTTTTTATTTTCTCACCAATCAATACTATAGTGGGTGTAAGTCTTGTCTTCGTCTACACCGACACTCTGTACGACAGAGCAAAAGAAAAACAAAAAATAATGAATAACACAATAACATATTTTTGATTTTTATACTTACTCTTTTATTTAAGTTACTGATCATTTCATTTATTGTACTGGCCACATAAATGATAGTCAAATACTTTTGATTTTATTTTGTATATCATTTCCTTTTAACCATTCAATTTCATAATTTAAATTCATACGTTTAAAAGGTTCATTTTCCAATGCTTCGAACGTCTAGAAAAACAAACTTGAAATTTTCAGGGTTAATTTTATTTCAAAATTTCTTCATACGGAATCTATTTCATATAAAAAATTAACTTAACGATATTTTCATACTCGATTAACAATAAAATCTTTAAATCGATCAAGGCAATTATCAAATTTAATAAACTAGATATTAAACTTCAACATAAGTCTAACTAAAATTTTAAATATCTTTATTTTCATGCTCAACTATATAACGACGTGTACAAACTTTTTCAACACGATATGATTAAACAATAGAGAAAGCACCACTTACTCATGAACAAGATGTTTCAAGAAAAAGTTGAGTCACCTTGGACTTGAATTTGAATAGCACTTACGAGAGAACCTTTTCAGGTGACACCCTCTGTTTTGATTCGTTCGCATCTCATTTAACCGAGTATATTGAGGTAGTAAAAAGCTTAAAGGGATTTTCTCCCATGCTTCTTTCTTCAAAAGTTATGGTCGTTTTATTGAATTTTCGACCCATTCTCAGGTATTTACGAAAAAAATAAAAATAGGAAATTTTGACTTGATATTTCGCTCATAGATAAGCCTAACGGTTCTTAGAATATCCTGAAAGTTTCAGCTAAAAAGAATGTTTCTTTCTTGAGATATTGAATTTTCAAGTGAACTCGGTTTTTGTGACCAGTCTGTGGCAAGCGACTATTTTTTGAAAATTCAATATCTCAAGAAAGGAACATTCTTTTTAGCTGAAACTTTCAGGATATTCTAAGAACCATTAGGCTTATCTACGGGCGAAATATTAAGTCGAAATTCTCTATTTTGATTTTTTCGTAAATACCTGAGAATTGGTCGAAAATTCAATAAAAAAAACATAATTTTTGAAGAAAGAGACATGGGGAAAAATCCCTTTAAGTTTTTTACTATTTCAATATACTCGATTAAATGAGATACAAACGAATCAAAACGGAGGGTGTCATCTGAAAAAGTTCCTTCGTTAGAAATCCAGTTGCTGCAATTGATTATAAAATTGAATCATATGTATGACACTAAATTTTATCTGAATATTTTCAGTTTAGTTCACTAATCCTTTCGAGTCGAGTTTATGTGCATTATGTAGTATCGAATGGACTTTGAATCCCATAAAAACAGGTCAGAATCATAGGTTATTGTTGCTGAGACAATGCACTTTTACAGTAGTTTTTCAACAAATGTCGTGACTGAAGTTCGGCAGTTCCAAATGTGAAAATGTTAAATTTATTTTCAGAAACTTTTATTATTGAATTTTTTAGATTAAAGATGCTACATATTTCAGTACTTGAAAAAAAACAATATTATACATATGTACTGAAGTCTTTAATCTCAAGAATAAAAAAATGAAGATTCATCACCATAGATTTAAGAATTTTTGTAACTATCTGATGATTTAATGGTTTCGATTCCTTTTTTTTTTAAATCGCCGAACTCTAGTCGTGCTCCTCTTCTTCCTCAGATATATCAGAAAAACTGATTTTTGAATTTCAACTTTATACTTTCCATAGAGATAGTCCTTCATAAGAATAATTGCTTTAAAATGTTTCAGATCTTGTCGTTGTTCCAATTTTAAGATGTAGCTATGATAAAAATGTATCGTTTACATTACTTATATATAACGGTAGATTTGATATTTTTATTTCACGATAGACGCATATTAAAAGACCTGAATCTTTTATAATAAACTACTCTCATTAATGCCTGTCTCGATGCAACATTTCAAGTCGAGATTCGAAAATTAGTTTCCCTAATGTTTCTAATAGAGACTACAGTATTTATTTAAACACTACTGTAAATTTGTGGTATCTACGCAGTAATAACTTAATGGCTCAAAGTCTTTTCAAAATATTTGAAACTCATATGGGTCGACATGATACACACAGTAAATATTATCATCTTGTCATCGAACTTAATGTACCAATCTGAATGTTTAGATATTCTCATTATAATTGCTGTGTAAAGCGTTTATTTAAAGCTAAATTTTTATTTATTAATATATAAAAGAAGTAACTTTCAACATACAATTTTTTCTTTTGGTAATAATTTACTTCTGTCATGATAATTTAAGTTCTTTTCGTTGAATTGTAATTTTTGTCTATCTGTGTTCTATAAAACATTTCTTTAAATGTTCTTATATATGTAACATTACTTTTTGTTGCTCTTTTCTAAGGAATCTTTCATTTCTTTTGAGTTGTTTGTTTTCTCTGATAATAATTCTCATTGACTCTGAATTAGAAAGAAAAAACAATAAATTAATCAAAAGACTAATTTTAAAAATCGAACTTTAATTTTATGCTGTGCATCAATATAAATCATCAAACTATCATAGTATCGATGGAAAGCCTAATAAAAATAAACGAAAATTATATACTACTAAAAACAGAACTACTAATTAACCGTTTTAAATCATAATTATGAATAGAAGAAAATTACAAATTATTCTATTAATATTAGAATTGTAAATTTTCGAATAAATTTATAAATTAATGGATTGATTGATAGCCACGATACTTAAATATAAACACTTCATCATCGATACTTGTCACTATTTTCATAACATAGAATATTATAGTACTTAAATACGCATTATATATCATAACGAAAACTGCCAATCGAAAAATAAATTTTTCATAAGCATGTTAATGCTGACGACAGCGACCTCGTATAAAAAGCAAACAAAATTTGATTGGTTGATCTATTCTTTAGTCTATAAACATAACTGATAATTTTTATTGAATGCAAATATTCTACCAGATTGTATCGAATTACTACATAACACTGAATTCATACTCAACATCAGTCTGCAACACCAAATATTCAAAATAATATTTATTAAAAAGAAATGTTTATTCAAAATTATCAATTGATAATATAGAAAATAAATGTTCAAGATATTTCCTGGATCAAATATATCTCCATTTTGATAACAACTAACTAAATCATAAAATAGTTCATTTTCTATTGCATTTGATATTGTAATATTCGAAACACTCTTCATTTTTATTTATCAGCGAAATTGACTTGCAATTAGAAATATCATTAGAATGGTTTTTTCTCTATTTACCATGAAATGTGCGTAAAAAAACCGGTTCAAAATCATTAAGAACAAGGCTTTTCCCCCTGAAATGTATATGTTAATATTTGATGACATTTTTCTCGAAAATTCGGATACTCTTTCCAGTCTAGGTCTTGATATGTCATTTCATCTGTTTGCTACAGTCTACAAGAGAATGAAGATCAAAAAGTATCTCATTTGCTTCTTTTTCTCATTCATCATAACACATTTCAAATATAATTTTCTTCATTCGAAATATCAAATAAACGACACGGAGGAATTCATAAATCTCAAAGGATCTTGTTCGACTCATGTTATCAATAATAAAAAAGCCTTCCGATAAAATTTTACATTATAAGCTGCTGTTATTCTTCTAATAACTTTTCATTATAGAAGAAAAATATATATTAATTCAGAGTGAAAATAAAATATTTTCTTCAGTACATATCAATCAATAATGACGATGATAGATAGTTTCTAATAAATAAAAACACTAAAATACTTCTGTCGGGAAGAAGCTACATCAATTATGTATAATGCATACTGCAGTAGATTACTTTCGTCTTGACTTTAATATTTGCATGCATTTTTGTTTTATAATATACTAAATAGAAGATACGAATATATTTCTTTTTTTTATGAAAAAAAAAACTATGCATGAGAATAATCTTGATAGACGATGACAACTTGTTGTTTTTTTTGTCCTCAACATTCATCATTAATGCATTTTCCTATCTATTCTTCGTCATACTATAATTTATTTTTCATTTCTTTCTAATCGTTTTGATCAATGCATTCAAATGAAAAAAAAAAGGATATGTCTAATGTCTTTTGAATACATATATGTGCTTGTCACATACACATTTTTGTTATGCTTCAATGATTTCGTTGAATAGATGATAACGAAAAAGAAAAAGAAAATGTATACGAACATTTAAACGAATGTATAGGTCAATAAAAGGAGTATGTGTTGATTTATTGTATTTTATATTTCTTCAACTAAACATCGTTTCGATAACCACTCTTGAAGAGAATAGAACTTGCAGCAAATGAAATTGAATGTGTTCATTCTCTTCTAAGTGGCCCTCGTACGATGTCCATCATCGAAAACATCTGTTTGGTTTCTCATAAAAATAATCCGTTTTTAAATGTGAAAAGCAATTTGCTATCGTACTTTATTTCTTTGATTGATTGAGAGAAAATGCATACGGTGATGAATATTCTTATTTTTACTTTACTTTCTAATATTATTATTATACAAGTTCACAGTAAAAATCAAGATTATTTAGCAAAATTTTTTGAAACAAAAAATCCTGATGATTTACATGATAATGCAAAAGATTTTCTCACTCTTTGGCGATCACGACAACGAGCTGATGGCGATGGGTATGATTATTCAAAACATTTTATTTATTTTATTCATTATTATTTGTTTTCATTAAAGACATTGGTGTTGTGCTATAGTTCCACCTTCAATTCCTGTTTTCTCCTCTACTGGTCATCTTTTACAGTAAAAAAAATCAGAATATTTATATATACATTCAATTCTATTTATTTATAATTTAGTTATGATCCACAACCATGTCCTAATACACATATGGTCTGCTGTAAAAGCTATATAAATATCCAAGGTCAATGTTTCTCTTTTAATGAAATAAAAGATATTCTTCCAGCATGGCAAACACTTTTTGCAACATTCGGTTCATCAATGACAACAGACCAGATTCTTGGTGCTATTCATCAAATGGGTTAAATAAATAAATAAAACAACTTATTTTTCTCTTTTATCATAATAAAAGCAAATAAAACAGAATTTTATTTTTTGTTTTTCATATTTTAAGCATCTATTTTAAAACTTAGACGTGAAAATGAATGAGTTTGTTTGAGAAATACACCTAATCGTTGATCATCAGTATCATCATGATTTGTATGAGGACATATTATAGTTGGTCGTCTAGCATAATCACATATATCTTCTTTATGATTAGTTTTTTTATAATAACAAATAAGTTTTTGAAATTCTTTTCGAAAGATTGGTCCAGTTAATGTATAAACATAAAAATGTGATGCATGATGTATTTGATGTAAAAGAATAAATATTGTTGTAGTTGTCCATAATTGACATGCATATTCTATTTGAAATTGACGAGTAAAATTTGTACGTAAAAAATCATTAATTTCTGATGGTAATGATAATACAATAAATAATATTGATGTTAATAAAAGAAAACCAGTTAATTGTCGATCTTTTTCTTGACGAATACGTCGTCGTAATGTAGAAGTTCTTCGTAATAAACTATGTTTTCGTGTTAATATTGATATGATAAATATATTACAAATAAATATGATTATAAATGGAATTAATACAGTTTTAATTATATCAATATATGAATCATAATGGTGAACATAAAATTCTATATACTTCATAGGTGCTGGTAAACATGAACCATCCTGATCAACATGAAATCCATAAAGAAAATGACTATTAATTAAACTGAACATAATAACAACAATAGTTATAAGTAATTTTGCTGTTGATGCCCGACAAAAACGATAATGTGCTGTTCTATAAGATATCAATATATAACGATCAATAGCAGCTAATGTAAGAAGATAATTTGATATATCTGTTGAGGCATAAATAAGAAAAATAACCGATTTACACATAAATGCATTTGATAAAAATTGTATTTCATAACCATGATAAAGTAGGTTTTCTAATGTATAACCAATTAATACCCATATATCACTTACATTTAATGCCAAAAAATATATTGAACATGAACGTGAACGAAGTGCTTTTCGACTGAATACAACAATTGATAAAAAATTACCAATAAGACCAAGTATAACTGTCAGTGTTCCTGCACATCGAAGAAATAATCCTGTATCAAATACACAATAAGTTGTATAATTAGTTGAAGCATTTTTCCGAAAATACATAATCAATGTTGTCGACCGATTTAGAACCGTCATTAGTAATCAATGAAGAAACTGCTAAATATCTTGTATTCTATACTATGAAATAAAAAAAAGAAATGAAATGAAAGATGTCAGGTTTTAGTTTACAATAAATCACTAATTAAAAATCTAGGTCATAAAAAATGTTATTATACTTATGTGTGTAAATAAGGTAGGAAAACAATGTTATGTATGTTAAAACGATGGTAATTTATTTTCTTTTTCTTTGCTTATACTCATATTCTTCTTCTTACGAATAACTTTATACTCGCCAATGTATTATTTTATGACAATGATCGCATTGTGTATGCCAAAAAACTAACATAAATTAATGCTTACATCTGTTGCTTTTCATTAATAAGCGTATTTAGTCAAGAGATAGCATAAAAATAGAAATCAAAGATTAATTCTATTCATAACTACAAGTGCATTTGTGAATAGAATAACTTATATAAAGCAATAAAATCCATCGTAATAACAATGAAGAAAACTATGGATCTTATGCTTTATCCTAATAGTTCATGTCTGAAGTATATGTTTACAAGTCAAAACACGCAATATGTTGATTGACGTCAGAAACTTATTCATGCCATTAACGAAGATCCTACGCCTATTCTACGTATGAAATCCGATGAACACTCACTGAAGAATTACGATAAAGTAATATGATTTATATTAAAAATAAACATTATTTTTAAAGTTATCATAAGTCATAATTAATTTTGTAGAGCTTAAAATTTCCTTAAATAATTTTGTTAAATGGAAAAAGATTTTACTATAAATAAATGCATTCAGAAAATTTAAAAGCAAATAATTCTCTTAAATTTTCAGCTAATTTTTCATATGATAATTGTTAGAAATCTTATAGTCATTTTACGATAAGATCAAAAACAAAATAATCATATCTATGATTTCAATACAAAGTTTGTTTTGTAAATGAATACAATAAACTAAAAAATTTCTTTCATGTTATTCATGAAAATCATATAAAATAAATGAAGTTAATGTTTCTTTTTTATATACCTTCTTACCTCTGGCAGCTGTAAGCAACATAGAAAAAAGGAAAATAGATATCGATTTTAACAGAAAGATTCAACCGTTGAAGAAACTTTTATTTGACAATACATTACTAGAGACGAAAGAATCCTTCTAGACATCATGATCAAAATAGGTTGACAGCCGGCAAAAACTGTTTCTTTTTCTTTTCTATAATCTATTTATCACAGACACGATCTTAGTTATTTCGTTATTATTAACAACTTACTATGAAATGAACTATTAGTTTTTTTTTGTTACTTGAAAAATAGTTATTGGAAAGTAAACCAGAAAATTTTTATCAAATTTTGTTATATTTTGTGTTTTCTAACACTAATCACATATCCATTTATTCAAAAATGTAGTTCCTTCTTCACGAAAGACTTCAGCATGCTATTATTTCCGGTATGCATACATGCCGTATGTTTCTTTTAGACTTAATTCTTATTGTTGACTCAATCGAAAATAATCACGTTTCTTCGAAATAAGAAAAAATAATGACTCGGTAATTATTTTTTTCTACCTGGCTGATAATATCAAATATATGAGGCATTTTTTTTTTTGTCTTTTTAGACCCTGGTTCAATGTTATTATAATATTCTCAAAAGAATATTTTAGAACGATTAATATTTAGACATTGGGATATATAATAATCATGTAAACATAAGAATCATTGAATAGAATACTAGCAATTGTTATATATAGTTACAAGTAGCTTGTTTAATGAGAAACACATCTAACAAATGTATTTAATAAGAAAATATTTTGTTCTCTCTTAGGCATTTCAACTGAGTTGTGAATCCTGTTCTTGTGATACATGACATCAATGTTAATTTTCTATATATGGTATAGTTTGGTAAATAGACTTATTTATAGATCATCTATAAAATATAGATTTTGAATGATGCTAATTTATTAAAGAATGTCGACATTAATGAATACAACAAGAAAAAAACTGATTTTCTAATGAAAAGATTTGATCGGAGATAAGAAAAGAAAACAACAAACAAGCATTGTTATAAAGAAAGAAAAAGCAATTTTGTTTTCATGCTGCAGTCACAATAGAAACAATTTACTAATTGCAAAAATGAAACTAATTATGATAAAAATCTTTTTTATTGTTACTTTAAGAATTTAATTTATGAATAACTAATGTATGTGTTTAAATAGTAAAACAATTTCCAATCAGTTATTAGAAGCAGCAACTTTTTTTGTTTGATTTCATTATTTTCTTTTGTAGACATGATAATAAACAAGTTATATTTTATTATTAGTACAGAGAATATTGAATACATCAGTCGAAATAATCTTCGCTTCACCATTATTTGCTGACTTAGCCTTCCAACATTAGGATTCATATACACATGTCTTACACTTCAACATTGACTTAAACATAAGATCATTTTGTGAAACTACTGTACAGAAATAAGAAGATAATTCAAGTCTATTACAATTGATATACGTATTTATTATTATTCTATGAACTTTCATCTATCTATAATTTTAAATAAATAAATTAACTAATTGGCATGTTATCTAACAAGTGTAGGTTCCCAAATGATAAAACACTTTTATACTGGAATTATATTTAATCGATAGAGTCTAGTGAGCAAGTAAATACCTTAGAGTGATTCGACTTGTTGGACCTTTGTTGCTGAGATAGTGAATTTTTAGTGCTTTTTTTTCTGAAGAACTCTAGCTTTTAAGCAGAATTATACTTTTGAATTTTGACTTGAAACTTAGCCCATAAAAAGGCACTAATTTGATTACGTAGTTTGTAGAAACGAATGTCAGAGTTTTTTTTTTTATTAAGTCTGTTCGACAATAAATATCATAAAATATAGACGTTTTATCCTGATTATTGTAAAAGAAATGGATTCATATCTTGGAGAGGCTTCGTACAAAAATTTTGAAATTTATTACTTCATGACTTTTTCTCGTCAATTATTCTTCTTTCAGATATAATAACTATGTAACGACATCTATTGAAATTGTTATGTCAATAAGACTTTTAGATCTTACTTGACAATTGCTACTAACAACAGTAAGAGAAATGGTTGACACATCAAAGTGAATCATTGATGTAAGCAAATATAGACGGTTTTTTTTTTGTTCTATTATTCTTTTGTTATTAGAATCTTAACTATTGAATAATGTCGGCAAAACGGGGAAAAAAAGGAAAACCCGTAAGTATCCTCAATATCTTCTATAAATTTCTTTTTTGTTATATTTCAATAACATTTTTTTTCTCATGTTTTCCAGCAACTTTATAGCCATATTGCTTCAGCTATAATACCAATAACAAGTATTGTTGCGGTTCCATCAGTTTCTCAACATTTTCCACAACAAAAGACACGCGCCAACGAAGAATGGGGTCCAGTAGCATCTACTCTTCTACGTGCTTCTCTTACCAGTCAAATACTCATTCCATCATCATCATCATCAAAGACGTCTTTAAATCAATATGTTGAAGATGATAGTCAACGAAGTAGAATACGAACACCTATTGGACGTATGGATGCAAGTACAGATGATGATGAAGAAGAAAGGTAATCAAATGATTTATATCTTCGATCTTTTTCTTTTTTATCTCATCTACCATACATCTATATAGCGATGAAGAAAAAGATGAACATAAATATCAAGAATCACTTCGTGCATCTACTGTTAAAAGTGTATGAAAGTTATTTATTATACAGAGTGATCCATAAATAACTAGATGATAAAAAAAGTCGATATTTCCCAGTCTATTTTATTCAATCGAGATGATTTATCGAAGTTGTTATTCATAAGTAAGGAAATTGTCAAATAGATTTTGTGTCGAGCAAGCACTTGAAAGCTCAATAAAGACAACATTATCAGTCAAAAGTATCTTACTTTGTGAAACTATTTGTATATATTAATTTAGATCAGTGAAACCTGTTCAATTGATTTGAAGAGAAGTTATGATTTATGACAAATTCTATACATTTATGACTCAGTAACCTTATCATTATATAGTCCATGAATATAACTATTTACGCTACACAGTTAATTGAGTTTTATTGAAGCATTCATAAATAACGGATATTTTACTATAAGGATACATTGTTCAGATTGTAAGTTCCTTCCTTTCTTGAATTAAAAAACTTCTAATGAGAAGAAATATTATATTTAATGGCGCATCTGCACGTCAAGCAAATGAGATCGAGTAAGTCTCACTGACTTAAATTTCTAATTTAGTACATGCGTAAAAGCATATTAAATGTATAATCTTAAGAACGGCTAAGATCACAGGAGGGAAGATACTTACGATCAGTAGTGTATGTCTTTATTGAGCTCAATATTGAGAGTTTTCTTATGAATAAAAACTTTGAAGAACCCCCTACCTATTGATTGCAGAAGGCTTGACACATTGAGTGTTTTTATTGTCAAGTTATTTATGGACTACCTTGTATGTTTAGTATTAAAATTTTCAATTAATTTTCTTTTTCAAGAGCATATCTCGAGCGGCCTCATTATCAGATGCTGAAAAACGTCTCTTTGGACATGTAGTTAACGATGACGGTAATCTATTGATGAAATTTAATAAAGTTTTATCATGTATAATATATTTCTAAAGAACCAACATCAACAATAGCTGATGATGATCTTAGTTCAAAAGTTCATTCAGATCGAAAACAAACAGCTAATGCTGAAGTATCAAAATCATCAACAGCAACGTCTACAGATGTATGTTTATATTCAATTGAAATACAAAAATATGTCGACTTTTTTTTTTATTGAACAGGACAAAAATTTAAAACGAGCAACAGTTACTATTATACGACAACATGTACCTCCATTAGTTCTAAATCCTTCACCCAGTCAATTAGGTCCAACATCAGCAAAACCTAGCAGTCAAAGAGATGTAAGTTTATCAATATGTTGATTAAAACTATACAAATTATTTCAACAGCGAATTCTTGTTACTTTTTTTTCTGAGACTCACATATATTGTCGAAAAAAATAGGAAATATAAATTTTTAATCGAGATTTTTATGGTTTCCTCCTAGACTCTAGCAACTAGGAGTAGGAGGAAAAAAAAGAAACGATTATTGGGTACGTTTTTCTAACAACAGGAAAAAGGTGTGTCAGTAATAACAATGTTTAGATCATTCTGAAACTTTCTAGAATATTTCAAAGCATTCTATGAATCTAAAACTTCTGCCATAGATTTCATATATGTCAAACTTGAAATTTGAATTCAATTAAACTTTCAAGTTTTAAACAAATACAATCACTCTCTCGATGTGGGTGCAACATATACTTGACGATTGAAACTTGAGAGTTGAAACTTGAAACTTAAAAATTTGTTGTTTTCATGAATTCAACTTTCAAATGTGACACGTTCTAGTAGATTCTAACTAATAGTTTAAATATTGCAAGTTTCAGTATTTTATATAATGAAAGAATCTTCTTGTAGGTGTCAATCAATGAAACGGTGGTATTATTGATCTAGCAGAGTCAGAATAGGACGGATATAGAAACATATACACTAATTGAATTCTAAGTTTTGACAAAACTCAACTATATATGCCAAAATTCATCAAGAGAAAGGTTGAAGTGGTTAGAAGCTCACTAAAGAAAATAATTCATATGTATAGTAGACTAATATGGCGGTTAAATCGATGAAACAAAGAATAAAACGATATTTATCACTTTCTATGGCATGTATCGTATACATTATCATTAGGAGAAAAAAAGTTATATATTGAAGATATATTTGATAATCGAAATAAGTTTTTTAAGTATAACAATTTTATCAAAATGATAAAATTTTTTCGAGCATCCATATCAAATTAAATATTTTATTTCAAGGGTATTGGTGAAGATGCTAAATCAATTACAACAACGACAGCACGTTCATCTCTTAATGATGCAACAACAATGCCAGTTAGTGCTCGATCTGTTTCATTTAAAGAACCTGTTGTTCATGAAACATATGATCCACCATCATCAACATCACAGAAAACAAATACTGTTCTAGTTAATAATAATTATTCTGTATTGGATAAAATTGGTATATTGATTTTATTTATTTAAACAAAAAAAAAAATTTTTTTTTTTTTTCATTGTTCTACTATCATATAGTTATTCCACCACCAGAACAATATCAACAAAATGTTAATGATCTTGAAAAACGTAATCAATTATTAACTGATGAAGTTCAACAATTAAGAATGATTAATGGAGTAAAATATTTATTTCTAGATATTAATTGATTTTCTTATATTGAATAAATCATTTAGAATCTACAAACTCAACAAGAAGAATTACTTAATCGTTTACAAACATCACAAAAATTATCACAACGAGAATTAAGCGATCTTTTAAAACAAGCTGGACATGGTAAAAAAAAAGTCTGTCGGTTTAGATGACCTATTCAGAATTGAGAAACCAACCATATCATGTTGTACAGCATGACAATTATGCCTCAAAAGCATGATCAATTATTGATCATTATGATCATATCACAGTCGAAAGTGTTTCTAAAATTTTTCTTCTATATAGTTTTGTGGAGCTTTTCACTAGCTGCAGGTTATTATACTTAATATCTCCGATTATTGTATGCTTTACAAGAAAAAGAGCTATTTTTTAATAATTTACCACCATTTTTCACTAGTCATCAGTTTCTGAGATAGTGTCCGTGATGATCACACTATTTTATTCATTGCAAAACCTTCAGCAATTTTTATATCAATTTTCCTTTTTTTCATACTGTATTTCGGCATTTTGACAAGAGTTCATCGAATCTGGGTCTGCAAATTTTCCACGAGTCAGATCCAAATCCGAGACTAACCCGAAAGGCTTTAGCCAAAGTGTCGAAATATAGTACGTATGAAAAGAGAACAATTGATGAAAAAATTGCTGAAGGTTTTTCAATGAAATAAATCGTGTTTTTTGTAGTGCTACATCGTGAACAATTTATCAGAAAGTTTGGCGTCTGTTAACATCTTCTATGATGGACACTATTAAAGACACAGACTCATCAGTAGTGAGAAAAAAAAAACGGTAGTAAGTCATTGGAAAATCGTGTTTTTCCCTATCAAGTATAGAATGATCAAATTAACTCAAACTCCTTCAAAGGCTTACGAAAATATAGTTTACTATGTTCCATTGAACTTGCTCTATAACATGATAAATTTACTTTCTTAATAGGTCACCTAATATGATAGAATCCATTATTATTATTTCTTCTTTCCCTTTGTCTTTCTATTCCTTATTTCTTTAATAAGATCAAACAAAAGATCTCGAAAATTTAAATAAAACATTACAAAATCGATGTGATCAATTACAAAATGAATTAGCTTCAATGAGAGAACGATCTATACAAGGTTAGCAATTCGAATAAATAGAATATATCTTCTTGTTATTATTTATTTTTTACTATAGATCAAGGTCAATCAAGTACACAAGAACTGAAAAAAGAAAATCATTTTCTTAAGGATTTTATTCATCGTTTAAATGTTGCCTCTAGTGAATATCAAATAATGCATCCACCAGATGTATTGAAGAAAGATATGAATGTAAGTATTAGAAAATTTATTCTCTTAATCACAGCACTTATAATACAGTCGTTTAATTGATTTTAATCAAATCGATAGAACGCTTGAAAGATGTGTAGTAATAGAATTCATAAAAGAAACTGGGTAGATAATCTTGACAAAAATACTACAGGAAAAATTTGATTAACTCTAACCTATATGATATTATCTGTAAAAAATCAATATTTTTGCTTTGCCGTGAGTAAGATTTATAAGTTTATAGGAAAGGACACGAGCCTATTTGTACATTAGATCTCATCGGATCGGAAATTCTTTCACCGGATGCAATGAATTCAACTTTTCTTTCATATCCGAGTCTATACTTAGCGGAAAAAATTTTAATCTGCATCAACCACGCACTTCCGTTAGACATGCAAAGTAACAAGAATAGAATCTTATAACATTATCTTGAGAAAGTTCTGGACTGGTCACAGACCCGACGAGTTCTCTATTCGCACCTGTTCAAAAACTTCTAGAGTAGATAAAACGAGATTCGGAATTCGAAAAAAACTTGTCCCGTAGGACTCAAATCTAAACCGTGGATTTATTATTCTTCAATTATCTTGTTTTTTTTTTCTTGTCTAATTATGATCTTATTTGTTTCATTTTATTGATAAAGAACAATCTTTAATATTTATTAATAAAATTTGATTTATAGAAAGAACAACGAAATCTAAAAGCTTTACCAATGAAAGGACCATCACCAATATGGCTCGTATGTTTATTATGATTTTCTTTTGTTATAATTTGCATTGTTCTTGGTTTTTCTAGCTTAATCAAAAATTTCTTGCTCCATTATTTGTTTGCTATGATGAAAAATTACATGAAAGAGAAGAATTTATTAGAAAACTTCAGGTAAAATATTTAATTAATAATAAAAAAAAAATTTTTTTATATACTATCTCAATAATAGACTCAACTTAATGAATTAAATAATGAAGTTAAATTAATAACTAATGAAAATTTATCATTACATGAACGAATTTCTCGTACATCAGTATCAATACCAATAAATCAAAGTTCTACACATGCAATCGATATGTAAGAATACTTTTTTTTTGTTGCTTTATTATGTAATGCACATATTTTTTATTATTTGTTTAATTTATTTTCTTTCTTAGCGAAAATATTAAACGACAAGCTTATCTTGTCTTAGAAGAAAATAAAGTTCTTCAAGAACAACTTAATTTACAAACAAATAAATTAACTGACGTACAAAAAGTACAAATTCAAGAAGGTGAAAATTATTTTTCATAGAAAAACAAAATAAAGTAAATTTCATTTCTTTTGATTAGTATCGAATTTAACACGACGTTTAATGGTTATTGAAAGTGAAAAAACAGAAGTAGATCGATTACTTGAAACAATGAGAATAAAAAATGAAGATTTAAGAAAACAATATGAACAATTAATTATAGATAATGATCATCGAATGCATGTTGAAGATCATGTTAGAGAAATCAATGAAATGAAACGATTAATAGGTTACATTTATTTATTTACTTATATTTATTTTTATTATTAGTTTTTCTTATATAATAGATGAATTAATTAAAAAACATGCAAGTGAAATGCAACTACTTCTTCGCCGAGTACAGGTACATTTAATCAAAATACAATTCTAATATAGACTTATATTATCAAATGGAGTTCTTAAGAAACATTGAAATTAGTAACGACACATAAAAGGGATTAAGAAATTTGATTATATTCAGCCGTTTTTTTCTATCCGATTGACTTTAAGAGAATAATTTAATATCGACAACTAATAGATTTTTATGAAAATCAACACGCTGGAAATAATATATGACAATATCATGCGTAAATTTTGTACAAAGGAAATAATTTAAAAAAATAAAAGAAGTAGAAGCGTTAATAATAATAAAAAGAAATTGATTCGCTTCTGAAAAAAAATTGAAAACAACAATTGCGACATCAATAAATGAAAAATGAAAGACTCAATAATTGCTTTTTATCTTCATGAAAAAAGTGCTATTCTTCAGCTATTGAATGATTACGGCATCGTCTGAGCACTAGTCATAGTCAACAGGTCATCTGAATTTAAGTTTACGAAATGTTGGTTGACTTTTCAGTCTACAAAAATTTGAAAACATTGAGTTTGAATCAAAATTTTCTATAGTTTACGAATATATGTTCGACATTTCACTAGAAATTATGAATCAAGCATTTAGACATACGAAAATCAGATTTTGGACGGAGAAAACTAACATTTTTTCTGGCAATAGTTTCCTTTACTGCACATGCTATATTGCCGTATAGAAATAAAGATAAAACTGTTTTCTATTAAGTAATATAAGAGTCAAGAGTTTCAGAAGAATCATTTAGGAATGAACTTTACAAGTCTAGTTTCCATAGAAATCAAAAAAATTGGTACAGTGTATCTTGCCTAAAATATTTACTATTAACAAATAGTTTGAAATAAACTAATCATCAGTATTTCATTTTATAGAGAAATGTTTCTTCTTTCATATCCTTTGTTTACAGTAATTTTCACTTAAATTTTAGCGCGCTGACGCTAGTTCAAACTCAATTTATTGATTCATAATTCTTAAACGATAAATCCTACAAAAATTTTGAAATCATATTCAGAAATAATACAAAATTGTCTTTCTCACTCAATGTTTTCAAATTTTTGCAGACTGAATAATAAACGAACATTTTTGTCAAATTACTTTTCGATAACCCGTTATTAAGTACTGAGAGTACCAATGATATACTTATTTATTGAGGTTGAGTCAAAACTTTGGTAGCTAAATACTACAATCAAAGAAGTCTATTCAATCTTGATTGTTAAGAACATCTCACTCTACTTATTATGATTATCTACTTCAACTCATAAAGTAACACTTCTCAGTACAATTTTCTAAGAGATAGTTTGATAAAAGTTATATAATTTAGAGTTCGACCGTCCCAAAAAGTACCCGGAGTCGGAACGATAGTTCCGACTCCGATTCCGGTGACTCAAAGTGAGAAAAAAACGGTTCCGTTTAAATTCTCAAACTATCACGTGGAACCGAAACCATTACATCATCAGAGAGGGATATAAAAATTTTAAGTCTATATTAGTAAATTTTCACTATTGAATTATTGTGATTTCAAATACCATATATTTCAGTATTTAAACAAAACAATATTATACATATCTACTGAAATCTTTAATTTCAAGAATGAAAAAAAAATGACAATTTCTCAAAATAGATTTAAGAATTTGTATCACTATCTGATGATATAACGGTTTCAATTTTCGTTTAGTTAATTTTACTTATAAATTCATTTGAGTATTTATTCTATTATTAAACTATTCATTTCATTTTAAAATAGGATGCTGAAACTGTTAAACGAGTAGCTCAATTAACATTAACCGAAAGTCGTAATGATAATGAACGTTTAAAAAATGATATAAATACAATAAAAAAATCAAATCGAAAATTAGAAATACGAGTAAAGACATTTGAAAAAAAACTTGAATTACAACAATTAAAAGAACAACGAACAACAACAATGCTTGATAAAGCTAATGAAGAAGTTGAAAAATGTAAATTAGAACAAGAAACATATTCAATATTGGTAAATAAATTTTTCTTTTCTACTGCTTAAAATCAATTTATTTTATATTTACGAAAACTTTAAAGGCTAAAACAAAAGAAGAAGAAATGAATCAAACAAAAATACAAATGCAAGAAGAAATTAAAAAAATAACCAAACTTGAAAATCATCTCGAAAATTGTAAAAGTAAAAGTAAAGAACATGTTAGTGAAGTACAAGAACAGTAAGTTAATTATTAAGATTGCTATATACTATTTCTCATATTATATGAAAATAGAATGAAAAAACAATATGATAATTTAAAATTACGTTGTTCGGAACGTGAAGAGCGTATTCAACAACTTCTGACTTTATTAAATGAAAAACAAGTGACTATCGATGACTTAAATGCAGAAAGACGGTATAGATATATATGCATATAATTAATGTAGAACTTATTAAATTTTCATTGTAGCAATCTTGAAATCGATCTTGAGACTATCTGGCAGACAACAAATGCTGATAATATGCGCATGCGACAACAATTACTTGACATGCATGCAATGAATTAATTTTATATTTGCAATGCTTCCTTGTAATACAATGATAATAATTAACCGTGATTATGGTGACCTATATTTTTATATATAATGATAGTTATGACCTTTACTATTCTTTTCTTGTTGTTCAAACGATAGTAAAACAAGATATATATTTATTTATATGATATATTTGTATTTTCTTCGATAATAAATTTATTATATTTGTGTATTTTCTTTCTCATAAAATATTTTAAGAAAAAAGGAAAAATAAATAGAAGTTTATATTTTCAAATAAATTTATTTTCTTTCTACTCCATGATCAATAAGACAATCATAAAATGGTGATAATTTGCCAAGACGTGCTTGAGATTTTAAAAACCACAATGGTTTATTTTCGCATGGATCATCTTTGTTAATACCTTTTTGACGACTAGGAACACCTTTAGCGGAATCGCCACCATTATTATCCGGTTCCCATGCATCATAATAACGCTTGTTAATACGACCGCTGTATGATGATGAGCGATGAACCACAACTATTAAATAAAAAATGACAAATATTCAAAACTAAAGAAAGCAACCAACTGGGAAATTAGACATCACTCATTAGAATGAATAACAAAAGTATAATTTTATTCTAAAATAACAACCTACCAATGACGAGAAATAAGACAAGTAATACCGAAAGCACCGGTTTCATGTTTTCTATGACGAAATACGAGTTATTAATCTAAAATGATAAATATATATATATATATATGCATACATTATACATCATACAATGATTATTTTCGATTTATTCATCTGATAATATGCGATAGAAACATACTTGTTTTAGTCTATTATATGAAGATGTTGAGTAATCAAATATTCCTTTCGTAGAAGTGTCAAATAACACTCATGTAATTTTTAGAAAAAAAACATTATATTTATAAAATTTTCTCTAATACTGTCTTGATTCAGTGATGGTAGTCACAAGTGGAAAAAAAAAATTCTTCATCTAATAATTGCTAAATTCATTCATTTATATTGACATTACATTGATGTTGAAGAAAAGATAGAAAGAGAAACTGCGGACAAGAACAAATTAGAAGAAAATATCTTATATCTCTACTCATATAGAAAAATCGAATCATTCCTATATTGATAAAATAGGAATAGTCTATCTTCCTTGTTTTATATATGTCATTGGTATACTCGATCTCACTTATTTCATATAGAATCTACACACAAATCGGAAACATTTCTTCTTTTCTTTTTCTTTCTTTTTTGTTTCTTTCTACTTCCAATAGTTATTTTTGTTGGAATTTCTAATTCTATCTTACTATTGTTTCATGTCTAGAAGAGTCAATGTGATCATTGTATTTTCTGTCTGTCTATCTCTCTCTCTATCACATCTTGATTGACTACGGAGATGAAAGTTATTGTCTTATTTTCTTCATTTACTCTGTCGGCTTTTGTTGCTTTGCTTTTGGAAATTACATATATATCTATATATAAAACACAATCAAGGTTTTTACTACTATTATATGCTTAGATAAAAGACTAATTCTTAATGCACACAACATGAAAAGAAAGAAGAAAAAGATATGAAACTAACAAGTTGGCATTTTGAACACACTAGTTTCGGATTGTCACTTTTCTATTCGAAGAAGAAAAAAAAAGAAAAGAAAATGAAAGTAAACGTACGTTCATCTGTTTAGTTAGTTTTTACATTAAAAATGACAAGAAATCAAATCAAAAAAAAAATCATTTCATTTATTATCATTGGATCAGTTTTACTAATAGAAAAAAAGGATAGCCGTCATTATTTTGCTTCTGGCGAAAAACAACATGATTCTTATAATACAAAAAGTCCATACAGACAATCAATAGATTTCTAATGCATGATCGGGAAGAGAAAAACATCGACGAAAGTATACTGCATTAACTAATCATAATTATATTTTAATATGAATGAATATGATTTTGAATCGATAAAAAAGATAATAGATCAGGAAAACATCAGAGCATAGAAATTTAGTTATGGAACATCATGCATAGCTCATCATCTTTCTATATATGCTATTCAAAAAAAAAAAAAAAAACTCTCGTCTGAAGTTGACACTAGTACCTGAATGACAAAGTTATATTAAAATAAAAGCAATCTTTATCAAGTAGTTCATTATTAATTATTCAAGAATGCATATTTTTATCAAATTGTTTCATCTGATATAACTAAGTACGTGTGACAGGTGATCAATGTCTCCTCTCAGGAGAGTCTGTGTGTTCAATATAATATCCCTTGTAAATTTAAATATCTTTGTTTTTCTTTTAATTAGCGAAATTGAGTATGGTGCTTTGGATGCCACAAATCAGAATAATTTTTGCACGATTAAAAACAACCTATCAACTTCTACAGAAACATTCATATTTATAAAAAAAGTCAAACTGTTTCTTTGAAATAAAATTTATCAAAACAAAAGCAGGCGAAACGAACATGATGAAATGTGTTATTTTTTTCTATGAAGAACATTTATCTAATTATTTTAATTAAAAATAGTTTTTGGTTGTAAAAGCTCGAGTGCGTGATATGTAAACGCAATATAGAGAATTACATGTGAATAAAACATCGATTAATATAAGCTTCTTTTATGTAGTTCTTCATATTAAGTCCGAATATTATCTTCTCTAGCTTCCAAAGTGAAATATATATCATGTCATGAAAGCTAGTTTTAATAAAATCGATGGTATTATTTTTGATAGATTTCTTTTGTCTATATAATTCTTATTTCAAGGAAAAGAATTAGAAATATTTTAATATGCATATTCTTGTAGAGTTCGATGAATTCTATCCAACAATGTAGAAGAATCTAAGAAAAAAATTCTATTAGTTTTTGCGTTCGAATGACTGACATTTTTATTGTAAAGAAATATTTTGTTATATTACAGTTTATTTATAGAAATATAAATGTCTTTAGTTATTTTTTTATATTTTCTATCGTATTTATATTAGATATAAACCATGAGAATTGTATTGTACGAAAAAGCTTTTTTATTTTCTCAATCGTAATATCTGTTATGTCTCGTGCAATAAAAATAGATTTCTTCTCAATTGATGTTTATTATTAAGTTAGTCGATTTATTTTGTAAACATTCTTATATTCAATACTATTCTATGGAGCCTTGTTTCTGTGTTGTTTTGGCTAATCTCTCTGTGGATTTATCCTTGAAAATGAAGTATTTGTTCTCCTATGAGACTTGTAAACATAATTAATATAACTATTATTTAAATTAAGATACAATTGTCTAGTAAGCCCTTGATATCAATACATATAACAAATTATATTGGAAAAAAATATATATTTGTATTTCCGCAAGGGTCAAGTAGTATTCGTAATATTTGTCTAACAAGATCAATTTTTTTCGCTTGAAGTCTTTAAATTAATTGTTACAATGATTTTACAATATTTATGATAAAAATTTATGTAAAATGATTTATATGTAGTAAATCAATGCTTATAAATTTATGGTGTTTTTCGCTGAAATTCAATGGCAGTCTCAATAAAAATAACTAGTGTAAAACAGTATCTAGGAAGTTAAAAAATAAAAAAACTGACATTAAAATAATGAAACGAACAAAAAAAAACTGATATATTTCGAATTTATCGATTAAAATAGACATTTTCATTAATTTTATTGCATAATTATGATTAAAAATGCAATTCACTGCATTTGCTTAATTAAAATATCACTTTCATCAATGAATTTAAAAAACATCAATTTTTTGTCTGCTTCATCATCAAAAATGCCTTTTTTTTTGTTTTCTAAATATAAATTCACAAAAGTCATGAAGCTTTTCATTTTTTTTTCTCCATGAATAATATAATTCTGATATTGAACCGTTTGTCAAGTTGTCTTCAACTGCCATCTGGCGTCATTTATCGTAGGTTAACGAACACCATCTATTTCATATTCAACTAAAGTCTTAATTTAACTTGAGTATTCAGCTAACAAATAGAAAAAAAAACTATCAAGATTAGCAGCAGCAGTTTATGCTTTAACAGTTTTGCTTTTTTAGAATTTTTTCGTAGATATTTTATAATGAATTTACTACGTCAACAAGCTGTTCGTCAGGTATTTATAAATTATTAAATACAAGCTACATTCAACTCTTTAAAATATACATAGATTAAAACATTATTTCGTACGATACCTGAAATTGGTCGTATTAATGATGATCAAGCAAATTTTGATGAAAAACTTTATTCATTAACACGTATCGAATCAGTTCGCCATAAACAATCAGCAGTGTAAGAACTTCTCTATAGTTATTTAAATATTGATAATAACTATTATTTATGTCTTAATATTGAATATTTATATTATAGACCCTTGGGTCGTTTTATAGTTTCATTACCACAATGTCAAGCTGCTTCATTAATTGATGGGGATCTTGAATTTAATAAGAATACAAATAGTCGAGCATTGGTAAATAAAAAAAAAAAAAAGTAAATATATAAAAAAGTTTTTTTTTTTTTTTTTATTCTATAAGCCAATGGAACAAACTGATCAACAAGCAGTATTAGATAATGATGGTGGTTTACGAGTACCGGTCAATCTTTCTACATTTCTTACTGTAAAGTATCATTATTATCAAACATTTCTTTTTTGTCTTAATTATAATTATCATATTTATTTATTTATTTATTATAGACAGCTTTTGATGATCTAGTCAAAACATCGCGTTCGTCTTCTTATTATGATCAAAAACGATATCGATGGTATTTTGATGATTGGAAAAAAAAACCGAAATGGGCTGAAATAACTGATAAATCACTTATGGAACGAAAAAATAAAAAACTTGTTGTTGAATTTAGGTAAAAGATTTAAAAAAATATCCGTATGATTGTTTGAAATTTTCAATAGCAATTTAATTTAGTTCACCAAATATTGCTAAACCTCTTCATGCTGGACATTTACGTTCGACATTACTTGGTCAATTTATTGCAACTATACATGAACGTTTTGGTCATTCAGTTTATCGTTTAAATTATCTTGGAGATTGGGGAACACAATATGGTATTAAATAAAGACTTTTTAATGATAATCTTTTCTATGAATAATTTTAGGTCGTCTTGCTGTTGGTTTTACAAAATTTGGATCTGATGAAGAACTTAATAAACGTCCACTTATGCATCTTCTTGATGTAATTATTAAAATAAAAACAAAATGTGAATTTTTTCAATTGATAATGTTATTTATTCTAGGTTTATATTCGTGCTAATAAAGATGAGTCAATATTTGACGACGCCATGAAGTATTTCGCTAAAATGGAAGCAGGTAAATAATAATAGATTAGGTTTTTAACTAAAAAAATATTAGAAGTATTCAGATTAAATTAAAAGTCTTATCTACAAACTAATAAATTTAAAATATGAGCCGCTTTGGACATGCATCGACTAACGAGAGAAGTCCTCCGACTGATAACAAAAGAATGTGGAAAATCTTTAAAAACTAAGGTTTGTTTTTTTCTAGAAAATCTTTAGATAAGACAGCATACATAATTTTTTCAATAGGAAAACTGTTAGAACAAAGTTGTCAATACAGAATGATAAAGAAAGAACTCTATGATTTATTTCATAGGTCTTTCTACTTTCCCGGATCGGGTCGAGATTTGAAAATTTTCTGATAACTGAGCGTGGGTCCGAAAATTTTGGATTTGAAGAGCTCTCATGGAGCCAGATACTAATGAGAGTAGTTTATTGTGACAGTTTCAGATCTATTGATTTGCTTCTATCGTGAAATACAAATATGAAATCGATCGATTTATATGAGCACTGTTAATGATCACGCTATTAGCATAGTTATTTCTTATGATAGAAACACCGGCAATGTCCGAAAAATTTACAAAAAGCTATTTGTGTTAAGACCTGTCTGTATGCAAAGTTTCACGTCGAGATTCAAAAATTATTTTTCCTGATCTATCTAAAGTGAAGCACAGTACTCATTTAAAAAATACTGTAAAAATCATTCCACGAATATTTGCATTAATGCTTTTCAGAATATGTTGTACATTGTTGACGGTATTAAAATATATGGAAATGAAAAAAATATTTCTTTCGAGATGAATTGAAAATGTTATTAACTTTCAAATGAATTTTGTTGAAATCGATTTATATTTTTATTCTATTTATTATAGGTGATAAAGACGCATTAGAGTTATGGAAAAGATTTCGTGAATTATCAATTGACAATTTAAAACAAATTTATCAAGTAAACTAATTTTTATTATTCTTATTTTTCTAATTTATACATATATATTTATTGTTTCAGTTATTTAATATTCAGTTTGATGAATATCAATCGGAATCACAATTTAGTGAAAAATCAAAAGAACTAATGGATCAACTTTGTCAACGTGGTTATTGTAAACGACGTAGTGATGGCGTTTTAGAAGCAATTATTCCTTCGCAATATAACAGTTTACCACGAGATGCTTATGTTATTGTTCGAAAATCTGATGGAACTTCATTATATATTACGCGGTTTGTTTGAGAAAATTTTGTTGAATTTTGTTGTTTTTTATTATTATGGTATTATTTAGAGATGTTGCTGCATTAAAATCACGTTTAGATACAATACCAATGGACAAAATATTGTATGTTGTAAGTTATGAAGAAAAAGAAGAAGCAAAAGATTAGACTAAGTTTATCATATTGTTTATGTTTGGTTTTTTTTTTGCAAAGGTAGATTCTAGTCAAACAGAACATTTTCGAAATTTATTAACAATAGCAAAAGCAATGCAGATTGAACAAGTACAAAATTGGTATAAATCTTATGAATGTATTTAAAATACATATGTGAATGATTTTATTTTTGTTTTTTAGGGATTTAGATGATTTTTATGTTCCATTTGGTCGTATGATTAATTTTCAAACACGAAAAGGAAAAATTGATTTATTATCTGATGTATTTGAAGATGCAAAAGAACGAGCAAAAGAAGGACTTGGTCGATTTTTAAGTAAATTTAAATTAAAGGATAGTTCCATGAGTTATCAACAAAGACAAAACACAAACTATTGAGAAAGATTTTTCTACTGATCATTTAAGTGGAAAAAAAAATTATTTCAGATTTCTTTTAGAAATGGTGGTATTCGTATGTCATTGAATATATATTGTAATCATATATTTTAATAATCCAGTTGTTCAACTACAAGAAACGATGGATTCCGAAATAGTTTAGTCACGGAACATAATGAACGACATTCGTAATTAAAACAGAAAATATCATAGAAGGAGATTGTTAAGTGATGACATTGATCCCTTGTCGAAATCGAGTTTCACATTTCTTCAATAATCAAATCAGATGTCAGAAGTCGATTGCTATTGAAATTAAACTGTTGGAATGGATTCCCACTGCGTACAGCTGACTCAAAACATGATATTATCGAATCCCCATAGTGTCATGTTTTGCCGTATTTACACTGAAATGTTGCTTCTCGTCTTCAGCTTTTTTAATTTAATTTATATATCACATGCAAGTTCTTTCTTTAATCTATGGAATGACATATAGGAGTAGGCTAAAATATTGTTTTGTTTTTTTTTCACTTTAAAAATGATGAGGACAGCCATGGAAAAATTACTCTTTTGTTGAGCTATGAAAGTAGCGAGCCACTTTGAATTACATATCATTCGATAAACTTTTCAAAGCTCTAGAGAATTATACTATTGTTTTGAGCTTAATTCGTGGATGCAAGATACTTTAGTCGAAAGTGCAATGTTCATGAGTGTCAAAAGTTGCCATTTTTCACTGATACTTGACGGATTGGGTCAGAATAATCAGGTTTACTGTAAAAACAGCTAGTATATTGAAAACAGTATAAATAACTGAGTCGATCTAAATGTCAGACAATTGCTCTTGGTCAAAAAATTTAGGCTTAGCACTTTCAGAGTGATGACAAAAACTTGAGTTAGTCAGAACATCGTTTTTATGATTTATTTATTAAAAGTGACCTTTCACAGTCAAACTAATTTGTTAACTAACATTGTTTTTAGACAAAAAAGAATTGTCGGAAGATTTTATTACACATATATCGACTGATATATAACTGAAAGTATATCTCTGCTTTCACAGCTAGCAGGAGAGTAGTGTTCCTATGACTATCTTCATACAGTTGAAAGGAAAAAGGAAAAACAAACAGAATATTTCGGCATACTCTTATAATTTGATATTTAAGTCAAATTAAAGAAACTGAAGACGAGAAACAAAATTCCCATGTATATACTGTATAGCATAACGTCATAGGAGATCGATAATATTCCATTTTGAGCCAGCTGCACGCAGTCGGAATCCATTCTAACGCTCTAATTCGAATGGCAATTGACTACTGACATCTGAATTGATTATTAGAGAAACAAGAAATTCAATCTCGAGAAGCAGCCGATGTCATCTCTTAACGACCCTCTCCTGTGACATTTCCTATTTTGATTATGCATGTCGTTCATTATTTTCCATTGAGGTTTATTCCCAGCAAATTATCCATAGACATAAGTCACAAAATTATTTTTGAAATCTATCATTTCTTAAAGTTGGACGACTGAACTATCAGAATATATAACTACAATCTATATTCAGTAAAATACTTCTCTCCAAAAAAGCATTCGTTCTAAGCTATTTTGCGCTTTTTGAGTATTTTGACCTTAACATCGGACTTTCTAAAAAAAAGTTCGAAATTGGTTTTTTGTACTAAAATGATCAGTAAAAATTGTTATTTCTTGGTTGACTACTAATTGGTCTACTCTAAATTATTTTTGTTTTAATAACTCTTGACATCCTGGCACTCATCCAGTAGAATTGGTGTTGAGTCAGCTACGAGAATAATTTAAACGAATGCTGATTATGACATCGGTATAGTTAAAGTTGGACGATGTCATTTTATTGTGGAGATGCAGAATGAGTTAAAAATGACACATCAACTTTTATATTTTGTTAATCAAGAAAACTATTTGAAAACAACGGCCGTGGGATGCTTTTTCACTGACTATTAGTTCTAATAAAGCTTTTAGAATAAACATTATATGATTTTTTGAGTTTAGATCAAAACTAAAATAACTCTAGAAAAACTATTTTTTATGTTACTCAATATAAATGAATCAACAGCAGCTAACGTGTTAACATTTTTTATTTTGTTTTAATTTTAGTTCGTAAAGAAGGAATCGATCATGTTAAAGTATCTGAAGTAATCGGAAAAGCCTATTTAATCTTAAATGATTTTTCACGTCCACGACGTACTGATTATATATTTTCTTGGCATGAAATATCATCAAAAGATGGTATTGCATTTTTACTTCTCTATTGTCATGCACGATTATGCAGGTAGAATCTTTTTCTTTTGGAAGAATGTTAAATACAAAAATAATTTTTATAGTTTGGAAAAACAAGTTAACATGCCTATTGATTGGTCAGCAAATGCTAATTTATTAACCGATCGACAAGAACATATACTTATACAACAATTAAGCACGTGAGAAAATACATTTTCACATAACAAACAACATTAAGGAAATATCATCGAGACTGACGTTCTCTATATTCAGAATTTTGTATTAAGAAGATTATGTTAGTACAATATAGTCAAAAATAGAAAAACATTATGCATACAAATTTTGATTTAATTTAAAACTAAACAATATAAACATTCTTCGATTCTCATTGTTGATATTTATAGAGAGTAGATATAGTTAAACATCCATAAGTTTGCAATTATGGTGTTACATAAATTAATGGAAGGAAAAATACCTCTGTCAGTCGGGTGCCTTAAGCGGCATGGGGTGCTACTTAATAGCAGATTACATAGCCCGATATCGTTTCTACAGACAGAAAATCAGTCTGACGTAGAATTCTTGCGCTCAATTGCTGAAGCTATCCACATTCAACATTAATTAATGGTTGAATTTCAATTTCCCAAAAAGAAAATCTAAATAATGGATAATCACTAAAAAAAAACATGATCATTTCTAAGAAGCGATATTCTATGTCATCATCTTTTAGATAATATTCAACATGAAAATTTTCTTTTTGATATTATTACTCAATTAATAATCTCTGCCTGTCATAATCAATATTCACAAATTGCTTGTGAATATTACTCTTATAAATACTTTTCGGTAAACAATTCATATATTTATGGTTCGGGTCGTTTAACAACTTTGTTAAGAGGTCAGAACGATTTTCCATTTGATGACGTTATTGTCTTCTAAATATAATTCTTGTCTGTCTTCGAATAATTATCTAGTATGTGAATCATACCAAAAGTTTTCTAATACACACCTAATTGTCACATAGAAATTTAAGTTAAACCAGAAATTATAATCGAAAAAGATTCTATCGAATATATTTATAGTGTCATTCGGTAGGAAATATCGATCAAAATATTTGAACATTTATTCATTTGATACAATCTGTCAACACCCCTTTATCATATGACGCGATATAGGAAGTATCTGTTGACTGATTAAATAATGTCTTATTAACTTGAGGTTTTTATTTAAATGGACGAGCAAAGTCTAATGAATAAATATTTTTAACGACTAGTTGTTTGTTTAGTTAATGAGTAGCCTAAAAGATTATATTCTTAATCAATATAAGAATAAAGCTTTATAACATCTGGAAAAATTTATTGACAAAATATGTTATTTCTTATAGCGAAAAAAACTACTTGCATGATTGGCCTTTTTTGTTTTTATTGTATAGATAAATATTTTGGTTATAAAATTAATTTAACTACATCCTCTATTTAAGACAAAAACTTTGTTGATATGTTCAATTGTTCAATGAAAAAAAAAGAGACAGAACTATTCACTATTCTAATATTTATTTTTTAGTTTTCAAGATGTATTATTTGATGCTTATCGTTCACATGAACCAACCAAAGTTGTCCATTATCTTGTTCGTCTTGTGTAAGTTCTTTTTTTCTTAATATACCTATAGATTACATATATATTCATATGATTATTTAATATGTATTACATGTTCTATCTTTAACAGATAAAATTTGAACAAGCATTAAATTCATTCAAATTTCTTTTTAATTATGAATAAAAAAAAGAAAAGAAAAAGAGAATACAAACCGAGAATAAAAAAAAAGAAAAACGAGAACACAAAATTTAGCTGTTTTTTTTCTACAAAAGATTTCTACTGATAGATTCATTAGACAAAAAAAAAAAAGAAAAAGTAAAACAAAACTTAGTTTATTTATTCTCGTTTTCGAATAAAAATATAATGTGATGTATGTGTCGACATATTATCACCAATGGCTGGATTTCCACCACCACCAGTTGATCCTAATATATGATAACCTAAACGAATCATTTTACCTATAACATCCATATAAACGGGTGGATGTTCGTCTTTTTCAGCCGAATAATTTCCAAACCAAACAAATGATGAATCCGCTGCATGTGGAAGTATTTCATAGACAAGTTCTTTTTCAGCAAATATACGATAATGTTTTGGATAAGAGACAAGTACAATAAGTGAAACTACGTCCATTCGACCGGAACCTGAATCATGTGATAAAGCAGCAGTAGTGGTAGTAGTAGTAGGTGTAGCAGTGTCAGTGGAGTTGGATGATGCCATGAATGATGAATTCTACAAATAAAAAGAATGATATGAGCAAGGAGTAGAGTCTTATGGGTGGACCAAGAGAAGAACGAAGAAAAAAAAAACGACTATGTTCTTATGATAATAGTTAAGGAAATTGCAGCTTTTAGAGAAAAAAAGAAAAAAAAAAAACTAGAGACAGTTTAGGTAGTTCTTGTATCGTACAGCAAGGCTTTTCTGTTCTCTATTCGTCTCTCTTTTCGCTGAGGACCGACTGATTGACATGATGAATGACATTTTCTTTATCTGGCAATGCCGTGCTATGCTGTTGTTCGTCTGTTTTCCTGCATACCGCATTGGTTTATTACTGCTAATGGGTGTTGTTGTTATTATTATTATTATTGTGATCTCATATTCTTCATATAACGCACGTTTTTCTGTCGTTATGCGTTGAAAAGATGTCTTCTTGTCGTTTCTACATTAACGCTGCTTTTTCGAGACATCGATATCTGTACCAAAAACAGAAAAATATTATTAATTATGATAATCTTGATGACACTTTATTATTGAAGTTAAGCATCGTTTGTCTTTTTATTTTTTTTTTCGTGCTTTGCTTTGCTTTATACGTACATCATTAGATATATATTGGTTGACATTCACCTAAAAAAATAATTGAGAACTAAGTTTTAGATATATTTGCATTCATTATGTTATTTGAAAAGAAAAACAGAAATGTCATCTATTAGACATAAATATAGATCAAATAGAGAGAATGAAAGATCAGTTTTCAAAGTATTTTTTTCCCATTATAGGAAATCCATAAATAGAGCACTTGCTAGACTTTATGTTAAAGATGAAGAAATTGAATTGGCTAAAGTAAGTTTAATTGTCATTTTTCTTTTGTATTATTTCTTAATCGGAATGTTTTATAGGCTCGCCTGTTACTTTATCATATGTGCCGTCTATCACTTAAAGAAGGTCTTGAATTACTTGGTATTGAAGCACTAACTCGTATATGATTTGTTATTTGTTTTGTTTTCGAAATAAATAAAACCAGAAGTTGTTTCTTGCTGAATAAATATTAATTGTAGAAAACAAAATATCAAAGAGAAAAAATAAGCAAAATAATAAAATATGGAATTGTATATAAGAATATTTAATATGCACAAATATTAAAAAATCAAAAAGTTTTCTTATGCGCACTTGATAATACTAAGATAAGAATAATCATATGAATATTGAATATTAAGAAAATAGACATGGACAGAAATCTAATATGATATGATCATCTTACCATTGAAAAATGTAGTGTTGATAAATGTGTCTATTCATAAAGATGAATAAATATTGATTTCATAATTATTTTCTTTTACAGTAAAAAATCAATTTATTCTTATCATTCTAAATCTCATAATAATAAAAAAGATTATGAAAATGTTCTTTGTTTATATTTATTATTGTTATTACATTTTTATGATTATTATGAGAATATTTTTCTATATAAATCCAGTATAAAATTCATCCAATGTCTATCAATTATTTTTCTTTTACTCCTATCAACTATAATACTTGTATATATTAGCAACTGAAAGTAAAAAAGAAACAAAAACAATTGATGACTCAATCAGCTTTTTTATTTTATTGTTAGGTTTCATAAAGCAATTATAAAAAATTGAATGTTTGACAAATCGCATAAAATATTATCGTTTATATTGATGCATCACAAATCAAAGCTACATTGACCTTTATGTCGCTCCAAGATCCGTATAACAAAGAAATACAACGATGAGAATATTGCAATCAACACCTTGCATTTTAATTGTTATTGAATTATCTGTACATGTATTCCATAAACATCTTGATGCAACATGTAATCCAGTAGTATTTCTTGAATAAACAGTAAGATGAACAACAAGTTTATATCGTTTATCATCATAACCTGTTGAAGATGATAAATGAGATTTAATTTTTGAACGTACAAGATTTCCCAATATTGTTAATTGTGCTTTATCTGTATTGTCAGAATTAAATTGCATTTGTTTTGTATGTGCATATATATGTATATCTTGTTCGATTGCATTTTTTAATTCAAGCCAATTTACTGGACGCATAGGTTCTAATTGATGAGTATTAGATTTCGGTGGATTTTTACTACTTATACGTGGTAAACCAGTATTAATTTTTGCTTGAATATGATTATAAAGTGATTTTTGTTTTGTCTGAGAACCATTAGTTAAATGAACTGATGACAATTCTTGAGAAAATCTTGCCATATTATTACGTAATATATAACGTTTGGCTGCTTCATGAACTGCTGAATTATATGTCATTGTTGTTGATGATACCTGATGACCATTGACTAAACTTGATTTAGATGAATTACCACTTGCTAATGCTGAAAGAAAATTAGAACCATCTTGTTTAGATTGGTGAGGTAATCGATGTTTGACTGTTGCACTATGGTCACCAACTGATTTTACAGGAGGAAGATGATTATCATACAAACGATCTTTGATCTTTGTTGTTGCTTCATGCATAATCCTAATAACAAAAACAAAAAAAAAAGAATAATGAAAAACATCTTGTTTCATAATATATATACATGATAATGACTGAATTTCTTAATTATTACATACCATGGTTTACTAACATATCGTTTTTCTACGTCGACCATATTAAATATATGAATTTATTTTTTATGAAAAAGATCAAACTTTGTAAACGATAAAAGATATTTATACAATACAATCCTTGTGTACAGAATAATGGAGAAATATGTTTGTATGCGCATTATAAATTTGACATTGTTGAGAAACCCTATGTGGATGATTTTTTTTTGAAGACGTATTTTTTTTTGGCTATCAAAGGTTTAGATGACAAAAAATGCTTACAATGGATTATGGTTTAATATATTGAGATGTCGTAAATGTCCTACAATTTTTTTTTTTGTAAAAACAGTATTAAAAATGAAACGAAGCACTAAAATGAATGAAACATGAGTATGTTATTCTAATTTTTTCTTATAAGTAATCAGCAACCGTCATAAGTGTGTATGTGTGTAGAGCAGTGCATACTCTTTTCCCTGCTCTTCCCCAATAATCAAAAATTTCCAGTTTCTTACATCGACTATGACAGATTTTATGTATATTTTATGCATGATATTGTTGTAAATATCCGTTTAAATCGCTCCAATTCGCTTTACACTTCTTAATCTTTGTTTCTTTGTGCGACCAATGTGTGTAATAATGAATTAACTTTTTTTTAATACACATATTCTAGAATAATTATTCGCTTGTATGAGTTTATTTTTCTATCAAGAAAACATGTTTGTTTCAGAAATATTTTTCTCTATGAAATGAATATTTGTTTTCTGAGACATTGAAGTTTTCGTAAATACTTAAGGAAGAAATTTAAGTTCAGCATGTTTTGTCATTAATATTACATTACGAAGATTCATGATGTATAATCCAAAATTTTCCGTCACTTTTGACCAATATCCTGTCAATTTTGTTGTCTCGGATCGTTATTCGTTTGTGAATTTATCTTGAAATATTTTAATATTTTATAACTTTATACTTTTTAAAAACAAAAAAGACAGTTCTACGTCTTTGTCACAGTAACTGTTAGTAATGTTTTAGGAAAGAATTATAACATGCGATACAATACAAAAGATTATTTTCTTTTGTTATTCTGCATTGCAAGCGAAAAAATGTATATGACTTTGAATAAATATACAAATGTGCAGTTCAGGTACTGCTCGGTTTAATGAAGAAACAATAACGATTTATGATATTTGCATATGGCCTAGGAATGACACAAATGGAGATGGAAACCATATCACATTCGTTATCAAATTGAAATATTTATCTATAATACGAAATTAATTACTTTTCTAGATCTGACAATGCCATTTGTTATATGTTTTTTTCCTTTGTAATCAGACATCAATATTTCTATCACGATTATGAACAATGAAAAAGAAAATAATATCTTTCTGCATTTCTCAATATGACAATAATAAGAAAGAATAATGTTATAAATAGTTTTTATTCACAAGAAAAAAAAGCAAATTAGTCTTTGTTTTTTTAATTTTGTGAACATTAAGCATAAACTTTTCCTTCAATATATTTCAATAGAGCTAATTCACCAGCTAATGTTTCTTTTCCAGTTGGAACAATTTGATCTTCCGGTAATAAAAATCCATATTCACCTAATTATAAACAATTCAAGAAAATTTTGTTTTTGAAAAATAAAACAAGAAGATATTCTGCTTACCAGTATCTCGAAGTTCGACAGCATAACTAAATGTTATATTAGCTTTACCATATGTCCAATCGACTGTATTACCCGATGCAATATAAATTGTTGAACCAATATTACCATGAACATATTCAGTACCTTGAAGAAAAATTATTTTATATCAAAACTGTAGAATTATATTCACCAAAAACAGCACCAAGTGCTTTAACAGCTCTAGCTGATCCATCATCTTGTAATTTAAATTGTATTGGTCTTTTTGTTGTATAACCTAATGAGAAAAATAATTAAAGAAAAACTACTTAATAAATTGAATGTTAATATTTACCCCATGGTGACATCCATAATTGTGAATAGGAATGAAAATTAATATAATGTACAAATGTACCATTATAACTACTAAGAAATTTTGCTACTTGTGCTGTTTCAATTTCTGAAAATGGTTTACTACCACAATAAATATCATCACATGGATCATGTGTAGCACCACCTATAGAAACATCATAAGAATAATTTATAAAAACAAAATAATAGGTGAAAAAAAAAGTCTTTACCCTCACACCAATGATAATCCCAATTACGATTTGGATCAGCACCAAAACAAGCAGGGTCTGATGTTTTACTTCGAGTTTTACGCCATAATCGATCTAAAAAAAAAAGTTTGTTTTCAAAATTCTTTATGATCTTCTATTTTACCATTTGTCCATGTATATGCATAACCGTCGATATTAAAGACAGGTAAAATATAATAATCGAATTGATCTACAAAATGCGTAATGATTGGATCTTTACTATAATTTGATAAAAGAGCATGAACAATATAAATATTTGTTGCTGGACTAATCCATTCTCGAGCATGAATACCTGAAGAAAAATATTTTCAAAAAAATCTTATAGAATAAAGCAAACTCATTGTTTACCTCCATCCCACCAGACAGCCTTTTTTTTATTTACTGGAGTGCCATCAAGTTTAACAGCTGTTTTATTTGACGATATTTTTAAACCTTTCATTTCACGTTTTTCATATGATTTTCCAACTGTAAACGATGTAGCTAATGTTGGATATGTTTGAACCATTTTATCAATCCATGCATGAATTTCTTCAATTGGATGATATTTATCATATGCAAAATCATCAACATTTACCAATGATGGTTGTAATTTATGAATTAATTTTTGTTTTTCAATAATATAACCGATATCTTTCATAACAATATCATATTGTATTTTTATATCATCTGATGATAAAAATTTAGCGAAACTCTTAATAGATTCTGGTGCTACACTAACATCAATCTATTTTAATAGAAAGAAAAATAATATCTATATGATGACTAAAACTGTCGACTTATAAAATGTACCGGAGTATTCTGACGAAATTCTTCAGACCAAAAGTTAATATTGTGTTGATATGATATACGACTAAAATCAAGTAATTTAGCAACTTGTTCATTATTTGTAACATATAAACGCCATAATTGATATTGTGAATACGATTCGAAAGCGTTAACATTTAAATGAATAGTTGATAATAGAAAAAAAGCGACAAAATAATGAACTAACATTTTCATATCTATACAAGAATAAAAAAATATGAAACAGAAAGTAACAATAAATATGAATATTTATATAAGCATCAATATCATAAAAGATATGAAAATACAATAGATAACATTTTTCTTGTTTGCAAGTAAAGAGAACGTGCTGACGAGACACACAAAACGATGGTCAGCATGACAAGTGTTAAATTAAAAAAAAAGACCCTTGTAATATTACCACTAAAACTTTCTTTTGAATACAAAAAATTGATTCAATTAAATTTTCTTAAAGAATATCATACAAAACCAAGCACAACAGACAATTTGGATTAATGAAAAAATTATAGTTCTGGCATTTGGTATAAATAAATCAAACTATTTCCTTCGGCGACTTTATCACCAATAAATGCAATAAAAATGTTAAATCATTTCCAATGTGAAAAAAAGAGAACTGTTAAAATAATATTCAAGTCAATTTTCAGAAGTAATTAGTTTATTCAACGAAAATGACCAGTCAAGCAATGTTTCATATTGAAGGATCAATAATTACTCATGTATAACCTTAGAAACAACACATACATCACTAGACCTATTTTTTGCTATATTTCTATCAAAAACGCACCATTTTCGTTTAGTAAAGTATTTGCCTCTGAAACTTTTAAAAAACAATGATCAACTTTTATAAAAACACGCCCTAAATATTTGAAGATGGATCCATTAAACTCTCGCTGAGTTATTGACTGTTCAATGGCATTCTATAGATCTTTTTTGCATATCCATGTATTTAGTAAAAATGGTCTAGTTCGTCAATAGCTTTCTAAACTTCGATCTCCGATAATGGGATTCACAATGAAAGTAGATTGCACCTATGATAACTTCCTTTTAGTTTGAGCGATTTTGGCATTGATGTTACCATTGATCAACATTATTTGTGGTCTTCATCTAAAAGTATTTTCCGAGGTTTAGCTCTCATCGCGACTAAGATCAAAAGATTATTGATCAGTTGAATATTTGTGTTAAAATTCGACGCCAGGAGTATTATTGTCCGAAAATATTGATGATTATGCTGCACAGAATAAATTTGCCGAGAAAAATCATTCAATTTTTTAATCAAAATCGGCATTATAGTGATATTATTCAAGGAATAGTATTTTCGAATGCCAATTTTTTTCGAATGCCGAACACAGATCATAATTGTCATAGGTCGTACACCGATAGCATTGACTGATGTGAGGACTCATTTTGAATCTGTCATAACATCTCTCCATGATATATACTGACGGCTATGACGTGTCGACATACGCTCATCAGCAGAAACTACGATCAACAGGAGAATGACTCAAAAAGAAAAACCAAGACGACATTACAAAGGAACAAAACAAAAATCATCTTGTCACATACCACTGAATTGAAAATATGTGTTGAATAGAGTATTGAAGTTGAAAAGAACTGTAGATCAAAGCATCTGAGCACGATATTCATCGTATAAATGGTCATCTTAATCACTAGAAACAAAAACCAACTGAAATGAATGATCACTAGCTTATGTTTCCTTGTAGAACTGAATTAATTTCTGTGTGGAATCATATCATTCCCCATAGTTTGGGGCAAGTAAGTATGGAATTGATGCAAACAAATTTTCCAGAGGATAATGTTGTTTCGGTACTAAATACTAAACACGAGGATGCTTTTGCGTATTCTTCACCTTACAGTCTTCATATAGATCATAATCACATTCTCGACGAATGCAATCACATCGTGGACCGACTAACGAATGCATGTGACACTAAGTGCAAAAGATATATTTCCAGATGTGTTCTCCTTGACTTGGTGGCGAGTCCTAACTTCACTCGTGCTTCCGTATTATAACCAATACTCT